GTCTTTCTCTCCGTTAATTTAATTATACAGCAGCACATCCAAGAGCTCCCAGCCATGAAAAGGGGCCGCCAGCCGGGAGGTTGATTATGCTGACGAAATACGGCCTTGAGATGAGGCAGCAAGACAAGAAACAGCCGGAAAATGAACGTTGGGTGAGCGCCGTTATACTTCTGGATGCAGGCATTCTTCAGGATTCAAGGCGTGACTATACCCATCGGACCCGAAATACTGCACGCTTCAATCCTCCTCGATGAAGACCCAGCTAAAAATAGAGAAGATGAGCAAAAACGAAATAACATTTGCAAGCAATCGCGGCAATGTATCACTCCTCACTTCGGGGAATATTCACAACAATGATGGTCGAGAGGCGGCGAAGAATGCACACTGGAGAAGCGTCTTGGTTGAGACTCGGCAAAAAGTTTCCCGCCGCGAGCGTTACAAGTAGAATATGGGCGAGAGGACATAGTAAAGGTTAACCAACGCGCCACCTAAGGAGATGCACAAGGACAAATAATCGCGTGAGATAGGCCTTGTGCCACAAGAAAGGAGGACGTTCACGATATGGGTGAGTTGAGGATCATTGAGATGTAAACTTAAACCAGTCCTCATCTCCAATATCCTCAAAGCTGTGTTCAATCTACAGAGAATAGTCGGTCAGTGAGGAGGGAAGGACTGGAGAGAACAGGGGGATACCCAATAAGCAAGGATGGCAGCAATGATCGCACACGCCTTTGGATCAACTTGGGGACGGAAAAGGGGGCCCGCTCCCATAATCGAGACCTCGTGTGATACGTGGTAGGTTGCGCCAGGCTCATCGGCATTTAACTTCAAAAGAAGGAAAATCCAGACACGCCCGTCAGTCAACGCGCCACGTATAATACTCTTTCTATGAGAAGGGTCTTAATTCAGTAGGAGCCGCCGACACAGAAGAAATGGACAGACTTGAGAGCTCCGGCACAGGCATACATTTCCCCCAGCGCCTGTGGGACTTGCTGGCCAAGAGGCACGCCAACCGCTTTCGCTTCCGCGACGAAGAGCGCAGGGTCGGACTCTTTGGCGAGTTTGCTCAGCTGAGGAGCTCGTAGGAATGAAGCTGCAACAGATGGGATCAGAAACACTCATTTTGTAAGCCGGTGAGCAAAGATAATGTCACCAGCAGGAGTCTTTCCGGCCTTGAGGATAGTGTAATCTATGAATCCTTTCAAGACCGCCTGGCCAACAGTGGTGGAGACAGATAGCTTGAGACCAAGAACGAGCTGCTTTCTCTGCTCCACCAACGATGATGAGAGCATCGCCATAGCTCGGAAGAAAATTGCGTCGATCCAGGTACGCGCGCTGGCTTTAGTCTGTGGAAATCGTCATATCAGATACATAATTATCTCTTTGAGCTCACCTGTGCAACTAATCCGTGCAGCAGACAGAGATGGCGATAGAGTACATCGTTCGACCACGTTCGTTCGCCCCGCGTTCTTGCTCCAAGTTCAATCGAGCAGGATCGTCACGTAGCTCAAGAGTTTGGCCTTCTCGAACGTTGAGAGTGTCGATTTCGTCTTGTTGGATGGAAGACAGTGGAAACACCTCATGCGGATACGAAGTGATCTGACGTACTGGCCGTCCGTGCACCTTTGGCTCCAACATCTTGAGGACTTCGTCAAGCTTCTGTGCAGCGGGATCGATTGTAAAGAGGTCCTCCTGCTCCGGATCCCCATCCCCATCCTCTCCCACCTGCGCCATTTCGGTGATTCGCTGCCTCACGCGTTGAAGAGTTTCGTAAAGTGCAATCAATTCTCCTCCGGTGATAGCTGATCGCTTCCTGCGTTTTTTGGAATCGGGCTCTCCTGAAGTAGCTTGGTGTGACATCGTGGATGGCAAAGAGTCCAAGTAGGCTCGTGACCAGCCTGAATATGAGAATCGATATTCAGGCTGGTACAGCTGAGTTTGAATTCCCGTAGCGTTCAGGTCGCACGGCTTCTACCCTGTATAGCATGCGTGAATCCGACCGACCCTAAACTCCCAGGTCACGTTCCAGTCAACAAGCCGCGTCGCGAGCCCCTAACGACGCGTCGCTCCATCTTGGACGCCTGCTCTGTCCTTTTCTGGTGCCGCTTTCATCAAAATTACTGAATATGCTTGCGCTAGACTCTCTGGAGATTCTTGAGAAATGAAAATTCTCTCCAGAGCTGCTACCGCACACCTATTTAGTCTTAGTTTCGGGGCACCAGTGACCTGTGTCTGACACTTTCTGGTCGGAATTCAGTGAGGAGAACCATTGGATATCTTGCCTGCCTTTTCCTCTTTTTCTTGACTGAATGTGGCAAGGTTCCTCGAGAATTCCAATTACATGCAACTTGACCACAATTGCAAGTTCGCAAAGCTCATCTCGCGCATACACGGCACTTGCGCTTTCGTAGTGGAGAGAGGGGATATGGTTGGGCGGAAAGATGTCATATTCAGTACAAACCTCACTGAATACAAAAACGCCAACTTTCGCTCCTCAGAACACTGAATTCCCCACCAACAAATTCCGCGGCTCGCTCTACCGTACCTAGGTCCCTCTAAACTCCATCGTTGTGTGTGGAGGATGATTCAGGAGTGGAAGCAGAGTATTTCGAGGCCTCGAATCGAACATTGAATTGATGCGGCACTGGCTCAGGGTTTCCGAACGTCCAGTGCTCGTTGGTATTAGTCGTGCCAGAAGGAACGTCGCAAGTGAGGGGCAGCGCTGAGGGGTGAAAACGAAATCTTCTGCCCCCTATGGGCAGACGTGGTTGGCTTCTTGCGCCTCGTCTTCGTTGTCGCCTTCACGAGAATATCGGCAGAGGACCGTGTCAGCATTGATAAGTGAAAGGGAGGACTTGGTGGATGCTCGGAAACATCTCTGGGAGGGCAACGTGACCTGAGTTTAGGGTGGGCAAGCTACTATATTGGGCAAAAAGGTGTGCAACCTGAACGCTACGGGAATTCAAACTCAGATCTACCGGTCTGTATATCGACAGATTCCTCCTACAGATCACGTTCTGTCATATACAGACGGTCACCGGTCTAGAGTCCAAGGACAATGCCCGGTACAAGACTTCAGCACATCATGTGACATATTTCCCAGCACGTTACCCCCGTCCGTAGCGGCTTCGATAAGTATTGCACGCACCACCCGAGCCAATTCTCAAGATCTTAGATGCTCCAAAATACTTTACTTTGTGAGTTTTCATATGGAAAAGGTGCTGAGGTGCGAAAATGACTGTGGGAACACCATTTTCGCAAATGGAACGGGACATTAAGTTGGGCGGTGCAACAAAAAATAGAACAAGATAGAGGATGATGCATCACTTCACAATAGATGACTGGAAAGAGAGTACTTCCGGGAAGAGGAGGTGGTATATCCGAGATTTTGGTGGTGGTAGCGGTTGAAGAGAAGGGCTATCCGGCGTAGCTTTGCACCCGTGACCCAACCAGTTGAACCATAGCGCAGAAAATTGAGCGACTCGAACACGGCTCGCCTCAAATATAAGGACCAGTTTCATTCTTTCCCAACTCCATATATCTTATCCCTGCTTCTCCATTGTTTGCTTCAGGCTCGTCCTGCTCCTCTCAAGCTCCCTTGACCTTAGAAACATAAAATGACAATGAGCACCCGCTCTGTACCGTGCAAGCCAAGATTGTTGTGAACTGTCCTGTATGGTCAAGGACAAGTGTCTATGGCAGAGCAGATGAGTGCGTATCGCATGAGGGGCAGATGGAAGGAGGAGGCTCTAGGTGTTACAACGTTACAGCAGGAAATTCGGGAGAGTTGGTTATTCCGCCCATCATGCAGCGTACCCACGCATCCTCAATGTAATGTTGTATCATCATGACACTTATGGTGATATATACATATAGTGTTAGACTGTAGGTCCATAATCACCAGTACACATGTTCCATAATTACCGAGCTTCACAATTCTTCGCCATCGTGGCATTATGATTGTAATTCTTGGGTCATCATGGCCAGTGATTACAACTGCGTATACCGTTCCAGGACGGGAACCTAAATGAGGAATTGCCCAGAATAGTCCCCCCGGACGTTCCATCCGATTGAGCTCCTCAAATAGATATCAAAAATGCTGAAATAAAATGCATATATTATCTGTGTGATACTTTGAATTTTGAGTACAGAATTCAGAGAGAATAAATAAAGGTTCGAAACGACCTGTTGCAGCAAGTGCCTCGGCCGTGGCTAGTCTAGAAATTATGAGACTGTGTCAGCCTTTTTATAAATCACCCAACCAAAGCGGACTCACCAAAAATTTATCCGTTCTGACATATTTGCCTGCCTGTAAGTTAGAGAGAACCTTGACCACGAGCAGAAGACAAGCTTACCTCTGAATCTGCCAGCCCTCAAATGCTACCTATCCTGTGAGGCCTTACTTTCAGATCACCGGGGATGGGTAGAAAATGAAGACTTACTGGAAATCATCTCGCACCTGATAACGGCATCATCTTCTGCATTACAGAGCACGATATCAGGAAATGTAAGAAGATGAAATCGAAGCTCACCTGAACGGACTGGGGTATACAAAGGCGTTGGTAGAAAAAGTTGCAGGCACCAGTGTCAAGCTTGAGCGACCGAGTTGACAGGGAATGGCAACGGGAAATGGTTTGCCGCTACTGGCGTCTTTTTTAGAGCACCGAGGCATAGATCTGAGCGCCTCGAAAAATCCGTAGTCGATGTGTTTCTCAAAGGCCAAATAAGGTCGTACTTGGCCTCAGCTAGGCGCCCGTTCTCGATTCAAACTTTTGGGCTGTTGCGCCACCGTCTCCGGGAAGACTGTAGTCTTTAATCCACCATTCATCCCAATCGCCATTCTATACTTTTCAAGCCTTGCATTGATCTACGGATTTATGCGTCCGTCGTCACAGCTCGATTTCTACTCTACGTCATCTTCGAGCCCATTACGAGGCGGTCTAAATCATCGACAGAGCCAATATTTCCGGAGGAGCGATATTTCCCGTGGTTTGTCGATAGATATCTGCGCTTAACATCTAATTCTTCAGGCAATATGGAGGAATCTCCGCTTTTGTCGCGACCACCAACTTCTCGTCTCAGTTCTCGACCGTTTCCAGAAGGTTTGCATAAGATATGCAAGCCTCGCCTTCCTCCATTTGCATGTGTCTCGAAAACGGGATCCCCTTGTTCTGATACCCTGAAAAACGCAAACACCGCCTTGCCCTGCTGTGACAAACAACCCAACCTATCTTCAGCGAGAACTATCTCCTGTGGGCCACCCCTTGGATTTGACCAGCCCCTTGTCCAAGCAAATGGAATGCTTTCAGGCGCTCTCTAGGCAGGGGATACATCGACCTATCCACCACACGCCGCCCGACTCGCGGGCGCTTCCAGGGTTATCATCATCGTGCGCTAATCTGAGCGCTCCATTCTGACATGCCTCCCCCGTTGGTTCTCGTTTTCAATAACCTGTCCTGCCTACGACACGGTCATGAAGTATCCCGAGCCTAGCTTCGCATTTTTAGCCTTAATCTAGGTTACAACATAATATTAACAATACGCCTACATGAAGGAAAACGTCATGTACGAGGCCTGCAGGAATGAGTACATAATCGATTTCACACCTGGTGTGCCTTCATCCTCAACTGCGATCATTTTCCGGACTCTTGTACTCTTATCAAACCTGGATACCGGGGTAAGAGTGGGTCAAAGGGAGCCTCTCGCGGGGAAAGTCGGTAAACGGGGCGAAGTAGCCCTGGGTCAAGTTCCTCTGGCGGCGTCGGGCCCGCCCTGCCATTCTTTTCCCGACAACCCGTGATCATGACAAATCGACTTCGGAGATCTCGTTTTCTTCTCGTTCTCGTTTGCTGAAACCTGCGCTCGCCTCGTCCAGCTTGTTCCAATTCCGATTGTGAACTCAATCAAAGCATGAGCCCAGAGGCGACGACATCAATCCGAAGGACGTGCGGGGATTTAGACGCGGTTTTGAGCCCCTTTCACAAACCAAAACCCCGGTCCTTGGCGGCTCTGACAGTTTCTCGATAATATCGGTCAGTATGCCACTGGCTGCGATTCGGAAGCTGAGGAAAGCATTCCGTTTCCTAGATTACAATGTATAAGCCAATCTCTCTCTGAACATAGTGCCCCGAAAATCTTACCGGACTCTGTGTTCCAGACATCGACACGCAGAAAGGGGTCCCTACTTATTCTTGGATCTGGCGAACACTTTGAGCCGAAGCGGGTATTTCGCGAGTCCGGACGAGTAAGTGTCGGCTGCAAGCTTCCATCTAGCGTGGACGGCCAGCCTTCGTGAAATTAGAGTATCGGTCAGCCAACAGAGAGTCTTCGTAACAGGTGCTGCTGAAACTGCAGGAAAAAGGCGCATCTCTGCAGCACACACGAGCGCAATGGACAGCTATCATACTTGAGGCGGTAGAAGACTGAACTTGAAGGTTTGATATGCCGTCATCCGCAAAATAGCCCATTTGGATTTGGTTCATACTCCGACTTGCAATGATCCCGTTCGTTTGTCGTCCTGGCTCTAAACATCTCCGACGCCAGCTCATCTCCAGTGTCTAGATGCCCGGTGAAAGGTTTCTTCCCAACCTCCCAACCCCAGCTCCGTTTCCGAAAATGCTGAGCGCCGAACAGGAAACGCACACAGTCAACGATCATCCCCGACGGGAAACAGCTTAAATATGCGCTCACTCTCCCTGGCCTCGTATGGCCGAAGCCGCCGTACTCTTGGTCGCCTGTCTTTCCAGCTTCCTCTTCCTGACATGTTTTCTCTTGCAGAAACGCCCTAGACAACACTTGCCGCCCGGTCCACTAGGTTCATACCTGTATGGTGTCAAGAATCAGCTACCCAGCTCAGAACCCTGGAAGACATACGCTAAATGGAGCGAGACTTATCGAAGTATGCCCTCAGAATCCCTTCCTCCACCATGACTCATTTCTTCACAGGTCCAATCATCTCCTTCCGGGTGTATAACCGCACCATCGTCGTGCTCAACGACCTCGAGTCCATCCACGCGCTTCTCGATCAACGCGCGCAGATCTATTCGGAACGCCCAATGTCATGGATGTATAATGTGATTTGCGGCCGCGGCAAGTCTGTCTTCAACATCCCGGCATCGAATCCACGTCATCGAACCTATCGGAGAATGCTCCAGGCCGGATTGGGGCAAAGGGCGACGAAGGAGGCTTGGGATATTATGCGAAAAGAGACGGAGGTGCTGGTCGTTGGGCTCGCAAAGCAGCCAGACAATTGGCTGCAACACATTAGACGGTAAAGACTACATTCTGCGCGAAATACATGAGACTGACTTTCTCTTCCAGACATGCGGCGGCGGTTATCATGAAGGTCGCCTTTGGCTATACGATATCCAGCCTCGAAGACCCTTTCATCAAAGTGGCTGAAGAGACTTCAAAGATCTCAGGATGGGCGATGGCACCCGGGAGATGGCTGGTAGATTACTACCCCATCCGTAAGTGGGGCCCTTGTCGGAGACCATCCGTTCTTCAACCTTTCTTCCTTCAGTACAGCACGTACCATCCTTCGTACCTGGAGCCCAGTGGAAGCGGCAGGGCCTAGCATGGCGCGAGCGACTAACTTACCTGTCCGAAGTACCGCATAACTGGGTCAAAGAGGAAATGGTTAGCTTTGTCTAATGCCTCTCAACCTCCTTTCGCTCACTCATTTTTCATACAGAAAAACGACACCTATCTGGAGTCTTTCACTTCCCGTTTCCTGCAGTTCGACCTCGACGACGAAGATGGAAGCGTCTTCTCAAAATTCAAATCTAACCTGGGTGGAGAAGAGGATGATATCGTCAAATGGTGCGCTGGGGGGTTATACGCGGGAGCTGCCGACACAGTGCGATTTTCGACGCATATATTCGCTGTAAATGCCTTGGGTTACTCAACGTGTGCCTCTGCAGACGGTATCAGCACTTACGTCCTTCGTGCTCCTTATGGCCCTTTATCCGGAGGTCCAACGGAAAGCGCAACAAGAAATAGACATCGTCCTGGGTGTCGAGGACGGATCTATCGGCCCTTATGATGTCTCTAGCCCCATCAGCGACATGGAAAATCTCGGAGCACTGGATTATCTTCAGGCAGTGATGAAGGAAGTGTTACGCTTCGCACCTGTCGGGAACCTCGGTGAGTTTTAGACTCATCTGGGTCTCGTCGTCGTCTTGCGTGCTATTCTTCGGCGTATGTGCAACCCCTGTCGTATGGTCTTGAGTTTCCACAGCGGCGCCATGGTGGTACAAAGAGAAAAGAGGCTACGAAGTTGAATCGAGAGAACGGAAGTTTGTTTGCTCACACGTGACTGACCTACCCCTTCGCAGCGCTTCCTCATGCAACACTATACGATGATGAATACCAGGGTTGTATTATACCGAAAGGCGCATCGGTAATCCCTAATGTTTGGTAAGTCTAATAAGTTTCCATTCATTATGTTGCATCGTCTTAAGCCTCCTGGAAGGGCGGTAATGCATGACCCAAAAATATATCACGAACCGTTCGCCTTCCGTCCTGAACGCTTTACGAACGGAGATTTGGCAGAACCTGACCCACGACAGTTCGCTTACGGTTTTGGGCGACGCTCTTGTCCTGGTAAGTCCTTTTTCTTCTTTCCATTTTCCAGTTCAATTCACGCTGAGAATATGTGCATCGTTCGCAGGCTCTCACTTTGCTGAGACAAGCATGCTTCTGGTCATGGCAAATATCCTTGCTTTCTATTCCGTCGCGCCGCAAGAAAACTCCCTGCTCGAAAAGACTCGAGAACTCGAATTCACGACGGAAATTACAAGGTGATTTATTTCTGCCTCTTAGTGTTTTCGAATTTTCGGGCTCATTAGTGAAATTGTAGCAATATTCGACCATTCCCGGTTCGCATAACTCCTCGGAGGGCCACTTCTCGTGTCCTTCCAGCTTAGGATCAGACATAAAATTACTCGGTTAATCGTACCTAACGACGATGTACTTATTTCATTCATACATTTTCCTCTCCACATTTGACCCAATCCATCTTCTTCCTTCTGACCGACAAGCGCCCAGAATTTTCCAACGAAAGTGAAATCTCCCATATGTGTCTGAGGTGCGTACAGACTCGCTAATACATTCACTGCTGGCATGCTCAGATATTATCCGTTGGAAAATCTAATCTTCTGATTTTAAATTTTAGAGGGCCTAACATTTAAAATCAGAATATTGCATTTTCCCGACAATAAAATCTGGCCCTGCCGGCAGCGCAGCAGACACGCGTTCCTTGAAAAATTCCCACAGTTGCACTTTGACCCCAACTCTCATCTCGATGTCTCGTCTTTTTCAGCTCGCCCAAGAACTTCTCGATGAAATCGTAGATTGCGGTGTAATGGTCGATAAATGGGACAAGGAGCAGCTCGCCATCTGTTCGTTGGTTCATCGATCCTTCACACCTCGATGCCAGCTCTATCTTTTCCGACATATCACTCTGACAACCGACTCTGGCCTCAACAACGGCTCAAAACGTAGGAAACGAATAGCGAACCTCTACAGTATTATCATGCACGACCCCGTTATTGCTGGGTTTATTTCTGAGATGACGATCATATTGTCAATGGCCCGTTCCGACTCTCAATGGATCGCGACCGACACCAAGTTCCTGCAGCTGATGGAATTGATGAAAAAATCCGGGATGGTACTCCAAAAATTTTACATGTTCCAGGAAATCGGCCTTTTTCGATTCCCGGAAAGTGACTACGTCCTCAAAAACTTTTTGGTTCCCTTTATTTCGCCTTCGATAGCAACACTGCGTCTTCGCCGCGTCATGGGCATCCCTCTCGCCTTCTTCGCATCTTGTCCCCGTTTAACTCACTTGAGCCTGGATTTGGTTTCAATCTCCCCGTCGCTCCCCAAGTCCATCGTCCCTTTAAACATCCCTCACATGACGAAGTTGGTGTGGCACTATCCGAATAGGACAATGGCGTCCTTGCTGCGAATCCAGGCATCTCAGGACCGGGACATTATAGATTTTGCCCATTTGACAGGCTTTTCAGCCACATTGTACGACGAAGAAGAGGCGCACACAATTTCCTATATTATGCGTATTGCTGAACGATCCCTGGTCAGGCTATCCTTATCAATCTTCGACGAGGAATGGGCCGGTCCGTTCGTTCGGGAAGTACTAGGTGAGACCATGAAAATCTTTGTTCTGAGTGATTCTAAAGGGACACATAGGTCAAATTACTCTCAAAACAGTGATATCCCTCCGCAGCCTGTACCTGAGTGCGGGTGGGTTTACTTTAGAAGCAACAGAGGGCACTCTGCAGTTCGTGAGGACGCTCGCCAAGTTTCTCAGCACGGCCTTGCCTACGAATAATATACGGAAAATCACGATAAAAGGGGATGGGCCGTTTCCAGTGCGCGATCCAATTACAGAACAAGCCGATTCCTTCGACGAGTGGAAGGCCCTAGACGCCGCTTTGCTCAATATTTCTTCGGGAAAATCCATTACTTTCAATCTCATTATCAGAATGCCACGGCAAGGGACCACAGGAGCCGACTCGGCCTTGAACCCGAACGATATTCGAGGGGCACTATTGCAGCATCTTCCGAGATCAGCCTCGGATCCCTTGATCGGCGTTCAAATTTATTTCTCTCTTGTCGATTAAGGACCTCCGACTGGTAACGAATCTATCCTGCATTGTTATCTTGAACATTAAACCTTTTTTTATTATTACTCGTCTAAGATCTATAGAAAGTCCAGGAACGGCGGTATGCCTTCTAATTTCGTCTTCATGTCGGAGAAAATTGTCGTACAGACAGATGAATATCTACATGCTGGGGAAATGCAGGACGACAGTGCCGGTCGGGTTTTTGAGAGCGCTTCTTTGAGGTCTTTCACCGATTCCAGTGCTTTGAGTTCTTGCAACAGTACCACGAGGAACATCATGCAAGAATGACAGGCTTGTGGCTTCAACGATCTCTCAAAGTACCAGTGCTGCCGCGGATTGGAGGGGGATGCGACTTTCATTTCAATGATGGCTTTGAGAGCGTCTTCGAACACACTGTTCCATGATTCATGGTAGCGGACCTGCGACGAGATTCAAAGATCATGAAGGTCACGAAAATGCGACCGAAAGCACTCACAAAAGGGAGAACGTATCGAGGGGGTAGGACTTCCAGCACTGTTACCATTGACACACGCCCCAGGTGTGGGACTGCTTCTTGTATTAGCTTCGGATAGTCGTGCTTACTGGCGTGCGCTAAGATCCCGAGAGCATCTTGCGGTAAGAAGCGCCTGAAACACTCCTGCCTGTCAGTCGAGTTGTGGTATCAAAAATATGTCACGCACTTCATTTGCAATTTGCAAATATTCATAGCCGCGTACACCTCATACTTCTCCGCCGCCTCCGCCACACCAGCCAGTGTTATGAAGCTCAACTCTTCCACATCCGGCTGTTCTTTTGGATAGACAAATCGGAAGAGAACCTCGAGGACTTTGGACGTTTCTGTCAGGTGCGTAACCTCCCCTCGCGTGTCGAATTCGGCCCCAGGGAAAGCGCCAGTATTCAGTTCCAAATATTTTCGTCGAAGATTGAAAAGGATTCCATCTACAGACTGGAACGTCACGTCCGCCTCTGAATCGTTGACTGTGACGTGTCAGTCGATTGCGCTGAATGACGGAGTCTGAGAGACGTACATTGGGGGTGGATAGGAGTTTTTTCTGCCTGGACGCTGCACTCGGGTTCCATTTTGGGGCCTTGCGTGATGAGCAGCATGAGGGTACCGTGTAGGTCGCGTTACACTGGCAGACCGCTTATATACGAAGAACACTGTTGACAGGAGAGAACAACGAGCACCCGAAAAGGGCACGACACGGGGCGTCTATAAATGACTCGGAAGCTGTGCGGCAGGGTCCAGCACAGCCGCTGTGCCTTAACGCTGAATACTGCCTGCCAAGGACGTGTTTGCCAACAGCGCAGCGGACAGAGGCTATAATTACAATTAAATAACTGAGGGGGCGACATATGCCCCAGCGCGCTGATGCCTCAGAAAGATGTTTTCATTGCATCCATCCTTGGTGAGGCGCCGAAGACACTCGATTGGATGAAGTGGTTCGTAATCAAGGCATGAACCAGTTTTGAAATTTCTGCTCGATTCACTGCCCATGGGAGGCTATTTGCGCAACTTGAATAGCATTCCAAAAGCCGGCAGTAGCTCAAATCCTCTACCAACAGCATTAACAATGTTCCATACGTCTCGTAATTTCTATATAAGCCCTCAGGCCTCAGGCTGGTCCGAAATCCACCTCTTTATACGGAGATTCCCTCCGCAAAATACTATAATCCGTGCCAGCTCTGAGTAGGGTGGACTAACAAATTACTCTCCTTCTTGAAAGGGAAAAAGATGTCGACAGTGTGGCGCGCTTGCCTAAAGCAGCTCTCTGTCGAACAGAGCACTTGGGCCTCACGGCACCTGACCACAACACACTGTTCGATCCAGCAGCTGGAACAAGCCAATATTCCAAATTAACCCTCCCTGGTAAATTTCTATCCGATCCTAAGGGTCTATTCCTAAACCAAAAAACCAGGTTTAACCAGCTGACTTGGAATAGCCTTTTCGAGTTGATGTTCGATATACAGGAAGAAGCCTCACTTAACGAATGTCGAGATTCTGCAACCATCGGCTCAGGCAGGTCTCTACAGTTTCTCCTCACTCTGAATTGGGAATCCATTATTTAGCACTAGCTACCCATCTTTTTTTGGCATATTTCGTTACATCATCTTCGCATCTACCTATCATGTATTTGCCGCGGATCTATTCAATCGGCCGGGCCCGTTGGTTCTCTGGAAATCCCCTTCTTCCATCGGTCAGCTGGCTATTTAGTTGGTCTCTCTGAGGTCTCTTGCCGTAACTAATCGAAGTGGGTGACCCAATCGTCGGGATTTCACAAGGAGTATATTTTTAATGAGCATTCTTGGACTATTGTCCACGACCCAAATTTAACCGTACGCCACACAGAAAGCGCTCGGTACGGGTAACCTTCCAATTTCCCCCGAAACTCGGAACACTGTGGTCTATGGAGCGCTTTAGGGCCCTTCTAGGAACAAAATCAGCGGTGGTAATAGCCGACGACCTCGGAAGACTCCATTTAAATTGCTAGGTCCTCCCCCATTAAGGAAGGCATGGTGAGATCCGGGGTAGCTCTCGAACGGCCATGACAAATGTTTCGCGCTCATGACGACAGTCCACGACATTAACAAGCCGCTTAGCGAAGCCACGGGACAGATCTGACGTCTAATTTCTCTCCGACTCGCACCCTTCTGTCGTGCGCCACGGGATCAGCCGCCGACGAAACCATTTAAACTCGCGAAGGAGGTCCGAGCACGCCTCTTGCCGCCCTCTTGCCCCAATGTCTCCCTCGAAGCACCACCTTGCACGACTTCCGACGCCTGTAAGCCGCTGGCTGGGATACAGAGACGAAGCTCCCCCAAAACAACCGGATTGCGTCGTCTGGATCTGGTCCTTCGTCGGCGCTTTCCTTGGAATATCGGTCATTCAAGCCGTCTTCCAGCAAGCACAGTATTTCGTGGAGAGGGGTGTACCATCCATCGTTGCCAGCTATGTGAGTACCCAGCTGGATTTGTAGGGAATGCCACGGAGTTGAATGAGGGATAACTAGGGTGCCTCGGCCGTTCTGATCTACGGAGCAGTGGATGTGCCGTTAGCGCAGCCTAGGGCTCTCTTCGGCGGCCATTTCCTCGGTGCGCTGACCGGGATATGCATCACCAAGCTCTTCCACCTCCTACCTACGGAAGAGCGGTTCCAGGACCTGCTCTGGCTAGCAGGTTCGCTTTCGTGTGCAACGTCCATTGTCTTGATGCAAATTACCGGTACCGTGCATCCTCCAGCGGGTATGTCGCGAGACTTCTGGCTTCCTTAGCTCATGGTTTTGTAGGCGCAACGGCATTGCTCGCGGCTGTCAACACAGAAATTCGGGACATGGGGTGGTACTACCTGCCTGTTCATTCTGCTCACATCCTCCCTGGCACTCATCGTGGCCTTAATCACGAACAACATCCAAAGACGATATCCCGTGTTTTGGTTTCAGCCCGCCATGCCACCGAAACCTGCTTCGCCGCCTGCTTCCTCTAGCGCAAGCATGGTGGAGAACAAGAGAGAAGACACGGCCTATGCGACACCGGTGTAGGGATTTATATGGGCGTGCGATCGAGCAAAAGATGACGTAGAGGCAGCAGAAGATTTGGCCGTTAAGTACGACCCCATCGTATGAATCGTCCACAATTTCGCCTAGCCAATGATATTCCAGGCGGAGGAAGAATGCGAGCCTCGAACGACAGAGGATAATCGATACATACAGTAAATAGCCTAAAAGTACAAACCTGATACAAGCAATTAAAAATCGTAGAAAAGCCAGGAAGCGAGGTCGCGAACCTTCGAAACAACTACGGCGACTCGTCCATCCTGCTATCGTCATCCCGTTCTGGTGCATGATCCAACCTGCGTTTGAGCACCTCCACAGAGTCCAATGCCCGCCTCAGCTCCTCGCTCGTCCCAACTATCGACGCCGCCTTGTCTAATTTATCCACCGCCAAGTGTCCAGCACCCTCGTCTTGGTCCGCGCCCTTCGTTAGCAGCCGTCCCAATGCCCAATTCATGTACCCAGTCTTGCTCGTCTCCCAGGGCCGCTTGCCTGGCTCTGTGGTGTCAACAGACGCGGGCGTATCCAAGGGCGGCAATGAGGACAGCGTGTTGTACATTTCGACGAAGCGGGGAGGGAGTTCATGCAGAGTTTCGAGTGTCGATCCATCCGGGCCTGAGAGGGACGAAAGGTAGGATAGACGCGTCTGGGCTTGTTTCAGCTGCCGCGAGGACGTGCGATTCGCTCGTAGGAGCATTCGTTTAAGTTTTCTTTGCTGTAGAACGCGTTCAGAGGCGCAGTAGGCGATAAGATTTGGACGTACCCCATCGAGCCGCTTTCTCAGCTCATCGATCTCGTCCATGAGCTCCTGCTCTTGCTCTGGTGTCACCGTCAGATCCAGGCCCTCCTGGTGCGGCAATACAACAGGGAGATCGCCCGGAATCATGAAGATATTCCGCAGACACCACGCCTCGAAGAAATCGAACGCGATGTCGGTATGATACTCCAGTAGCGTCTGGAACGCGACGAGACCCTGCTCAACCTCGTGCGTCGTCGACTCCATATCGATATTTGAAGATCCTCCACGCGCGACGCGCTCGTCGGCCCATTTCTGCAGAAATTCTTCCATGCCGTTGACACCATCTTGGACGGCATTGTTCGCGACGTTGATGATATCGTCGAGGAGCAATTGAGGAGAGAATCCTAGAGCTTCGCACAGTAGAAGAGGCGGTGCCGATTGTGTTGTTGGTGGCGTCGTCGTTGGTGGCATGGCTCGTGGTTGTCGTCTATGATCAACATCGAAGTTGAACTTGGATTGAAGGCACAACACACGTTCACTAGGGTTAGGGTTTCCTTACAGGCACTCCGCCCGTGCCGCTTGTCTTCTACCATTCACCACGATTCCCGATACTCGAAATGGACCGCCCTACGGTTTCGGAGACCTCAATCCCTTCAGATGATGCACAAAAGTGTATTAGGATCACAAACGGAGGAAATATGAAGTCTTGGGTAGCTGTGTCACTTGCATTCTTCGAGGTGTGTGGATATTGGAGCCTACTCGAACCCTTTTCTAATATAAAAATCACCGCCTTATAGGACGAAACTCGGGCAAAAGGCTTGACATTGCATACCTTTCCAGCGTCCGTGGCTTCTGACGCCTTTCTGGAACGGGTAGCAGGAAAAGACCCTGTCCTTCGCAAACAAGCAAGTGCCACTGTTTCGACCATACCCCGTCTCATCTCGGTCGCCGAGATTATCAAGCGCGAGTTTGTGAAGACCCTGGAAGCGAAACGCTCAAGCCGTATGAAAGGACTTCATCAGTACAACGAAGTCGGCACGCTAGAAGCATTAGGCCTCACTGTCGCCCCAGCAGCGGAAGACGGAACCCCGCTGACCGGGGAGGACGCGAGATCTCATAGCATATTAGAAGCTCTGAGTGGGAGAAACTAGTAAGTTGCTCCTTCGTTCCGTTTTTGACAAGTGGAGTTCATATATGCGCATCGCAGTGCAAGACAAACACAGTCTCCGTATATGCGAATCACGCTTTCGACCGTAGAGCGACCGGATCTCGTGGAGAGAGGTGCAACGTAAGTTTTTTCGTCTTTGTCTTCCCTACCTCTCGCGGAATTGAGCTCTCTTTTAGATATCAGCCGCCAACAATTCGCAAATTGTCAAAGTCCGCAAAAGCCCGCGCCAAAAAGCAGGAGAAAAAACGTCAGCAGGTTGGGGCAATAGCCGCGGCCTCTACCGCAGAAAATCGACCTGCGACAGCAATGGAGGTGGACAACACATCGTGAAAATTTAAACTGCCTCCGTAAGCAGTTTGTTCGATCGTGTTTTAGTCAGGAATGTTGAATTTGTTGTCGTGGTGCACCCATCTCAGATTTTGCCTCTTTCCAACCCGCGTTGCCGTCGGATAGTACGAGGAGCTGCCCGCCTGCCCCCGTGTGGGTCGAGCCACCCACCCCCGAAGCCTAGTCGCCGAGCACATTTGATTGAAGTCATACTTACTCCGGCGCAGAGTATACATCCCCTCTCTCTACCCACCACCGCCTCTGGATAGTCGGCACCCCTCTCATTGGCCTATCCACACCCCTTCAACGTTAGCCAGGTCTGAACACCATATCGCTTTCGTGGTGTGCTTTTAGCATACCTACTTTCCTCGGCCTTCCGCTTCACCAGAAATTTGGCAACGTTTTGCGACTCTCTAGTTGCTTTTCGCCATCTGTTCCCGCCACCCAAGATGAATTGCCGTCCTCGTCTCTTGTCATCAAGTTGGACAACAATTTCGCTCTACGCAATCCCCTGCCTTATTTTTCATCCTTTTAGATTACGTCAAGCTGCACCCACAACCCCAACTCAAGTCAGTCAGGATTTGAATGTTGACCACCAGCAGGTCCATGGGCCTTAACCTTCAGACGTGCAAGCGAATTCCTCACCATCCTCATTCACGGCCGCGTCAAGCTCATTGTCGCGTTACGTCACACCCACATAGGCCGTGGCACAGGTTCCGTCGTTATCAGAAGGTTCCATCAAACAAAGTCTTCCACGAAAGGCACCATGCGGAGACGACTGTACAGCCGCCTACAGCCGCCCAAGTCGAGTCATATTGGACGCCCACGACTGGCATTCTGTCCTCAACCACGAGATGGCCCCTCCCAGCAGGCCAACCCTTCCTCCTCCCTCCAAAACGCGGCCGGCGCTGACCTCGTCGAGCGTGAGCACCAGCTCTCGCGTGCGTGCACGGAAGACACATAGTGGTGGATTACCCCAGGCGATCAACACGAACCTCAGCGCCCACCCGCGTACGGATCCCGCCAACGCGCTCAGCGTCCTCCGGAAACTCCTCACTTCTCTTCCGTCACGTATTGGAGGATGTCAGTACAAGCTAACGGCTGCAGAACACGCCCTGTCCCTTCATCTCATCAGCATCATCGACCCTTTTGTTTATCATGGGGTCCGTGCGCTGGCGCCGAACCCTGTGCACCGGAAGGTCCCCTCTGCCCCAGCGACAGGACTCACCCACCAGCCAACTGAGATTCTCGACGCGATTCTCTTCCACGTCGACTCGCGCAAGGACCTCCTGAACGTCGCGCTGGGGTGCAAGCGCCTGCACGATGTCGTTTTCCCGAGGCATTTCGATTATCGCGTCATCCGTTGTAAGGTGTCGTCGATTAGCGTCTGGAACCACCTTATAAAGAACCGCTCTTTGGCGAGGAACGTCAGGAAGTTGGAGATCATTGACGAGCGCGCGTCTACCCCGCGAGGGGTCTCGACGGGGCACAAAGGAATGCTCGTCCCGCGAGGGATGTTGCAGCGGGACACGGACTTGGATTCAACGGATGACGAGTTTACCATGCACTCGAAGCAAGAACGATTCCTGGCCGCCGCCCTCTTGCGGATGACGGGCTTGAGAGAATTCAAGTGGTCATGCATCCATTCTCCAATCTCCATCGCCAACGTTTGGCCGACGATCATGATGCGAGCGCCCAACCTTCGATCCATGGAGATTCACGACAATTTGGTGTTCGCGCCGAGGATTACGGTCGAGGAGAGTAGCGATGAGAGTAGCGATGAGAGTGGGTCAGACAGTGAGGGAGAGGGAAGCTCGTCGACTACACCGGGTATGACTGTTGTCACAGCTCCTTCGAGCGTAAGCCTCTCGTCTTCCTCGCGCGAAGTGGGCTCATGTCAACCCGAAGTTGCTGGAGATGACGAAAGTGGTCTTCCGCTCTACGTCTCATTCGTATGGTACAGCCAAACAACCCGACTTGGGCCATATTTCCGCGATGTTGCACCAGTGCGCGAATCTCAGGGTATGTGCGACTTCGCCCACTGCGTGCCCTCGCCCATAAAACTCTTCTAGGACCTCGAAATTACGTACGTCACGCCTCGGGCTGGAGGAGCTAATGGGAGCTCTCGCGCTCGGCCCCTTGCAGACGAATTTCTTTTGTACAGTCGTTGGGCCAGTTTGACGACCCTTACCCTTGCCAATCTGCGATGTGCGACATCGGCTGCTCCAGCTGCCTTCCTGGCCGGTCATCCCAACCTCGAGGTTCTCAACATTGACATGGGCATGCACAGCAACATCATCCATCTCTCTGATGGGTCTCTTCCACGTCTGCGCGAAGTGAAGGCGTCGAAGGATATCATCAACGCTATCCTGGAATGCCCATGCGAGACCGCCCGTCCCTTGGAGTCGTTGAAAGGGTTCAAACTCTCTGGACATTCAAACAATGGCTGCGCCGTCTCTTCCACCCGTTCCGTCTCCGACGCTACCTTCCTCGGGAACCTCAAGCGTGCTAGCAGCACCATCCGAAGCATCGAGCTCGTTGGTTGGCACGAGATGGAGGACATCCGGCGGTTGACCGCCTGTGTTTCGAGTATCCAGCACCTTGATGTCGGACGACGTCTTGGGGCCGTCGGTGCCCGCCAGACAGGCGCAAACGAGAAAGGCACGACCAACGGACCAGTGGCGAACATCATTGAGTGGACCGAGCTCCTGGCGATGTTGCCCGAGCTAACGACGATGCATGGTGTCAAGTTCTTCTACGACGTGGCCTCTGCTGTTGTTGGCGCCCCTATCCTCTCCTCTTCAAGTCCCGCCAACGGCCTGTGGTCCACGAGCAATTCGAACAGCTCTCCAATCTCGGCTTCTGCTTCTCCCACCCCTCCCATTGGTGGCGCACCGTCAACGTTCGGACCTGCAAAGACCCAACCCCAGGTGTCGATGATGGAGCGGAGTCGCATGCGCAAGAACGACGAGATAGCAGGTGTGCTGGCTTGGAAATGCCGCAAACTGCGTCGGGTCGACCACTGGGAGGATGGCAGCGGCAAAGTCATCGTTCTAGTTCGCGATCATGGGAACGCGTCGGAAGAAGCTGGAGTGGGGAAAGATAAAGTCCGGTGGGAGGTTAGGAGGGTCAAACACTGAAGGCTGTTGATGTCGACGTCCGACGTGTTGTGGTTGCCGATTTCTACGTAGGGGTTAGGAGAATTGGGCGCACATTCTTTCGATGGACCATTTATGTTGCCGTTTCGACCTATGCAATCAACGTTCGTCTTGATCTGTCCCATGTTACCCCTTCACCGCCAATTTTTTCATACCCTTGCACTAACCGCTTTCATTCCTCGAATTGTCATCGACAACCTCTTAACTCCAGAGCGGAGTTTTCAAACTAGACCGCCGTAACGATTCAATTGTGTATTTTCTGGTTAGTGTCTAACACGATTTTGGATTTTTAACTGAAAGTGGCTGTGAGATTAGATGAGCGAGAGTCGCGGCGGCGTAAAACGACACTCTCCTTCGTCTACACCAAATCATCTACTTGACGTTCTACCCGAAATACGTGGATCTCAGGCTATCTCCTCTCAGAACAAGATCGCCAACTTCTCCTGATCTCGTCGCATCCACAAACCATGCCGCAAGATCTGACCCTGGTTCCCAATGTTGTCAGTGCGATCCACAACATCGACTTCCTTTCCTCTTACTTCTATCATCTCTCTTCTACATAGTCTATCCAGGAGGTCGATTTAGAAGCTGCTCTTAGAGATGGCGGAGAAACATCGAGGCATGTCATCCGTCTCACCGCAACGCCGCATCATGTCCCTGGTCTCACGATGCCACACCTAGGCTTCAAACCACTGCTCTCATTCTCAAGAATCATAATCTCAGATACTACTTCAAAACAGGCCTCATCCTCGTTGTATTCTCGGTGCAGAAAGGAGCTGGGTCAAATGCGCTCACGGGAAGCCTGCTCGTTTGGCTGTTAGCGTTAGTGGCGGTGTTCTGGTAAGCAGTGCGATTATCGACGACCCCAAACCATCTTTTAATCCCATTCAAGCTCCCGAATTGATCAGCTCAAACGGATTGAAGCTAAAGAAGCAGCTCTTCATCGTTGGGCAACCAGACGGATAGCGCTTGTTCAGCCCGAGTTCATCCACATAACGTCTGTGATATTCCCATGTTAGTTCTCCAAGCCACCCAAACTATTCACCCTCGCTCATCTCAGCTCTAGTTATGAAGTTCGGGCTGGTCACCCTCATATCCTTCATCGAAAGCCGACTGCATGTTGCTCTCCAACACTCGAAGACTACCAACGCCACCGAGGTAGTCCTCACTGCCATCTTCATGATAATCCTGCATGTCCTGTACAGCTGTGCCTTCATGTTCCTCGTGAGTACTTTCCGAATCTGCTTTCCTGGCCCGCAATTCCTCTCACACGGGACCTAGCTCGTCGTCAACCTTATTCTCCTGGCGAACATTGCCCGAGGTATGTGCTTTTTTTTTGCCCAACGGGCCTTCAGACCGTCTCAGTTGTCATTGCAGTCCGCGTCCCCAAGCTCCGCGACGTGTTATTCTATGTGGATAACATCGTGGTGATTGCTCTTGGGCTGGTCCTGTTTCTCTGCATGCCGTTGCAGCTCGGCCCAATCAAAGCCAGACGGGCCCTGGCTTTATGAAGGGCTACCGGGTCGCTGAGACACATTCGTTGTTGCAACCGACGACTAGCCATCGCCGTTGCGTTTCGCCCATTAGCATATTAATGGTCACTCGAGAGCTTGTAAGAATTCGTAGCTTTGCGGATGCGTGTAGACGGTTGACATAGTTTTGCAAAGCTTTGTTTGCTAATCTCGTACTGTGTTCAAAGGACCTGTAGATCCTTCGAGCTTTGATTTAGTCGGCACTCGATGTCAGTCTTATTTCGTGCAGAAGAGAGAAGATTGACGGAGCTCGCCTCCCCCAACGCGTGACCGTAGTCCGCGCCGCACAGTTTGCGGGACTGGGAAACTATCGCGCCCACAAACGGGTACAGCCGATCCTTTTGATGAAATTTCGAGCCGTTGACACAAAAAACGTGCCGTTACATCGGTTGGGTCGAGCAGAAGACACTTGACACTGATGTGGTCCGAAATGGTGACTGGATTCGAGTTCCCGGACGCAAATTTCTTTATTGCGACGACATTTGCTGGCAAAGTCTCTGGTTCGTCTGTCTCTTGAAAATCCCATCCTAAGTTTTATAAGCAAGGAGAGCGGTGGGCGATGATCCTAGGACTCTTACCAGCACCATCGTCAAGCTAAAGGCACCATACCGTCTCCTCCAAGTCCAAAATTTTGTATGCTTCATTAATCTCTTGAGAGCAAGAGAATTTTCCAACGGCGATCGCTATAGTCAAGGAAGAAATATTGTGCGAAAGATGGCGGCGCAGTTAGATCAAGCAACGCCGCATCGTTACCCCCCAACCTCCACCACGCCAAATGTACGTTTCCCGCAGCCTCCACACTTTCCTCCGAGCTCACGAATCATAGGACATTACTATTGATGTACTTCCCGCGGCGGAGGAAACAGTGTTCGATGGCGGCAGCGGTCTGCTGTGAGTCTCTCAGTCTTTACGCCACAATCCTGGTTCTCACATATAACCTCGAACAGCCGCGTCAAGTGGTCATATAGTCGACTTTTCTGCTTCAGCTGTGTCCTCGTGGGCCTCACGGCAACACTCATCGACTTATTCGAGTCTGAAGCCTCGGCCGTCAAGATAGTTGGATTTATTGCAGCATTATTTGGCACCACGTAAGCTGTTGATGATAGACGCGCGAGCCCAAAGCAGTTGAACGCTCACTTCTCCCTCCAGGCTTTTCATCCATTCGTTGGTCGAGCCCCGACGGCCCACGGCTTATCGATGGTGGTTTCATGTAGACCGCACCGAGCAGGTCGGGCAGTTTATGGGTTACATTGCTTATGCCACGCCTATGGCAGGTGCGCCGTTGTGTGAGGACATGACTCTGGTGCTGAGCCCGGCGTCAGGTGTTGCTGCTACTTTTATATTTCTTGTCAACGCATGGATATACGGGTTCGAATACGCCTTCGCTCATTCACTGTCAGGTGCGGGTCCGAGAGCGCAAGTGATCACTGTACATGCCCCGCCAAGCTTGCTTTGCTTTGGAGCTACAATAGTACTCGTGAGTGCAGGATTCTTTACTTATTTTTTATTTTGAATTCACTGGATTGGGCTCGCAGAAAAAGATGTATCAATTCCTGCAGGAGAGGGTAAACCGAGGTAGCTGCACCGCTAAATCACTCCATAACACAACGGATGCTTATATTCGGACCACGTCTAGCCGCCAAACGTCCTCGCCATCGCCATAACTGGATATACTTTATCTCCACTGTTGTCCTTGCAGGAGGGGCATACGTTGCGTTGCTCCTTTTCGTCATCGTCAAAGACGTGCGAGCCTTGAAATTCGGCGACCCACTTCATGCCGTGATATTCAAACTTCTTTATTGTCTCCTCCCTGATTACCAGGCGCTTTAAGTATTTTTTTATACGCTATATCAAGAGATACTCCGACTCCCCGCATACTTCCCTGCCCTCTTTGATCGATTGATTCTTTGAAGCTTTAACGTTTTAACACTCAAAGTTTGTGTAGATCAACCGGTATTTTGTTCGTTACATGATTCCACAGTTGCCCAAGTCCAAATACAAAGTTTAGCACAGTTTTTTCCACCCCTTATTACTCGAAATCTAAGCCACGATCTTGTGCTAGCCTGACGTTGGCTAGTAAAGCCGTGTAAGCAGAAGCAGGAGTGGAAGAGGATAGATGCTTCCATCCACATCGGGACTTCATCAATTCCCGGGCCACCCTCCCGGCCGTAGAAGTGCCAGCAAAGAATCCAAATGTTCTTGGCAGAACACCACCACAATGCCCCAGCAATCAAGCGTCTCCTTCGCACAAGAACGTTCACGCACTACAAAATCTTGTATGACCAGATGGGTTGAGGTGAAGCAGATTTTGGACGAGATCTTTTAACAGGACTCGAGGCCAGATGCGTCGAGCACCAGACCGTTGCAAGGATTGCTACAAGACGCCGAGAAACAGAGACAAATGTGCCTGAATAAATTTACATAATTGGTAGTGAGTTGTATTTATTGCGTGAAAAGCCATCTCGTCGTTCGATCTTACGCGGAATGTCTCTATCTCGCAGGAAAACGATTTCTTCTCCCTCCTCCAGGTGGTCATCGAAGAATGTTCTCTCCCGAGCGTTGAGGAAACCTAGAGTGCGGCTTCTTCAATCTACGCACCGATTTGGAACAACGAGGACGACTCCTACTCCTCGTATCCTTTGCTAATAAGCAACTTGTTCCTGGTAGAAACTCCGTTGGGGTTATCTCGAGGGAGATGCCAGCAATATGTCGAATATCGCCTCCCGCAGCTCGAGGGTATGCTCAAATCCATTTGGTTCGAATAATTCACGTGCGGTCCAATTCCTGATGACGTTCAAACAGAGTTTGCAACGAGCCTGCTCCTGTCTGGCTTCTGGCGCTACGCATCATGGTCCATGGATGGTATAAAAGGCTCACCGCGAACGATGACGTCCCTCAAGTGGCTGGTTCACCATCTCCCTGACTTTTTCCCTTATTCTTTTGGACGAGCGGTACTTCGGCTTTTTCATCTTCACTTGACTCGAGTTATCCTTGCCTTCGCAATGTCTACCTCAACCCTTTCAAGTCGCTTCTTTTCTTTATTCGTGTCCCTGGCTCTCCTCTCCTCTGTCTCGGCTATCCCATGGCCTTCGACATCGAAGCACGCGACCCACAGGCGGAGGAATATAGGGGGGAGAGAGGTGGAAAGCTTCCATCCCGAGTCAACCTTCAAGGTAAATCTATCCATCGGGTGAACGGACATTTCTTACCTGTTGCAATAGACCTTCGGATCGACCGGCCGTTCCTTTGCGGTGAACCAACAGCTTTTCGATGTGTCTATCGAGGGGTTGGCGATCGCTTTTTTTGGCTCTCGTGGATTCGACACCAGCGGAATCAAGTATCGTTCGGGCTATTCTGCTGGAGAGTTTCAGTATGCATACTTGAAGCAGTCTGCTGTAAGCTTCCCTTTCGCTTCGTGAATGGAGACTAAATCCGAGCTGTGCGGTAGAATGGGATCGACTTCGCGAATGCTGTCGCCAATGTGGTGTTCAAGGGCGACAAGGTTGTTTCATTCGGGTCATCTTTCGTCAATTTCAGTTCGGGTGAGCCCTGGGGTAAATCTCGTTTCCACGATGATCCAAGACTTTTTCAGTCAGGATCCCATCCGCGACGCCGTCAATAAATTTGAAGGACGTTCTTCCCAAGATCCAGTCTGAATTCAATGCAACGAAGCCCGACGGTAGCGAGCCGGCCCTCGAATACCTCGTTCAAAGTAATGGGTCCGTGGTGCTCGCGTATGTCGTCCAACTTCGCAACTCCTTGATTGGCGCCGCGTTCGAGGTGTTTGTGGATGCGATTTCTGGAGTCGTCCTTTCCATCACGGACTTCGTCGCCCATGCTTCGGTATGTGTTGCGTCTCCTAATTTCTCGTCCATTCTTTGAGGTAAGGTTGTGTTTAGTACACCGTGGTTCCCATTGACAAGGCTAGCTTTGCCGATGGTCTCCAGACGGTGACCAATCCCCAAGACACGCAAGCATCGCCTAGTGGTTGGCACACCATCAACAATAAGGCGACGACCACAACGGCGTGAGGTTCTCCTATTTCAAGTATCTCACCCCTTCTAACGAATCGATTCCAGTGGCAATAACGTCGTCGCATTCACCTTGCGCAATGGCACGCGCGACTTCCAAGAATCACCCATCCTCACCTTCATGGCCAAGTATGATGCTGCGGCCTCGCCCAACACAACTGACAACACCAATGCCGCCCGCGCCAACGCATTTTACGTCGCGAATCGCGTGCACGATATCGCTTACCGTTATGGATTCACCGAGAAAGCATTTAATTTCCAGCATGATAACTTCGGAAAGGGAGGGAAGGGGAACGACTCTGTCGATGTTATTGTTCATGACCCATCGGGCTTGAACAATGCTTACTTTTCGGTGCCACCTGAGTACGTTCGCGTCGCATTTTACACATTTCACGATCCTCGATTGACGGCTTCTCTACCGAAGTGGGGAGCCAGGCACTTGCCACATGTTCATTTGGACGAAATCCCTGGTGTGTATCTAGCCTGCGTCGTCCTCTACCGCAAAAATAACAAATTTCTGTAGCCCAACCGCGACGGCTCGATGGACAACGGCATTCTCATTCATGAGATGGCGCATGGCATCACAGGCCGGATGACTGGTGGTGGCACCGCACGCTGTTTGCAAACGACGGAATCCGGCGGTTTAGGAGAGGGATGGAGCGACACTTTCGCTGGGTGAGTCCAAGTAGGCTCCCATTGGATAGCTTATTCCCTTGTTTAACTTCGATTCTATCTAGCTGGATGGAGCAGTCTTCTCGTGAGACGAAGGACATAACGATAGGATCCTACGTCTACAATAGGACCAGGGGTCTCCGGCGCTTTCCCTACTCTGTCAATACGTATGTCCCTTCTATGTTCAAATTAAAAGGTTCTAATCCTTAACGGTATCACAGGACCACAAACCCGCTACGGTATTCCGACCTGAAGAAACTAACCGAAGTCCATTGTGCGTTCAGCTTATTATGCACTTTTCCGCTCGAAGTAACGGCCTATTTCCAGACATTGGGGAAGTTTGGGCCAATATGCTGCACAACGTATATGCCTCGCTCGTTCAGCAGTTCGACTATTCCTCTGATAGGTTCACGAACCCCGACTCACCGGCCGGAAATGTCGTCTTCCTCCGGTTGTTCATAGACTCCCTGGCTATCCAGCCTTGCAACCCAACCTGTAAGTCTGGCCCGTGCAGTTTCATCGACTCAGTGATAGATTTTCCCTGCAGTTGTGCAAGCACGCAACGCGTGGATTCAAGCCGACGTCAATCGATATGGCGGAAAGCACAGGTGTACGGTATTTAAGGCTTTCGCAAGCCGCGGCCTGGGGGCGAAGGCTGGCCCACAATTCGATGATGACGGGACGATCCCTCCGGACTGTTCGTAGGTGGAGCAAAGGAAAGGAGAAATACCTTTCACGCATTTTTCTTGCCTATCACGACGAATTCCTACACGACCCTCGATGTAAACATGCTTCTAGTACGTCTCGCATGATATGCTCTTTACGCCACTAGGACTGGCATTTCAGTCGTAAAGGTGCGAAGTGGCGTGCACGAACCCAAATCGAAATCATCCTCATGATCGTCGAGCCTCCGTGCCTGAACTCGAAACGAAAAGAATTCTTGTCATCAGCGCAAAAATTCGAACAGCGTGAGGATCTCGGCGCCCACAGATGTTGTAAGAAATGAACGTTAACTCTTGCTCTTGAGATACCCGACCAAGAATTCCTCCCAAGAACGGTATTGCCTCCTGTGGTGGTCTAAGAAGGACAAGCCCCAATCCCTGAATGAATGACGGAAGAATAACCAGGACACCTCGACAGAGTATCCAAGCATTATGTAAGTGCCCAAAGCCTGCACGGAACGGGCCGGAGATGAGCTTCACCAAAAAGGGAAGGTTCAACACGCCCTTGGCACCATTCGGAGTTCTGCGGCGGGTGGTTCGTGGTCCGTGCACGCCTCTGAGCCAGTGGTCTTTGCCCGCTGTTGTGTCAGCTTGTGAAGCACTTATAGCTTTATAGGGGATTCCAGCCAAACATCTAAAATCTGTTCTTTCAACTCTGTTCTCTTGTGGAAATCGGTGCAAGCAAGCGCGACGGCACGAAGCGGCATCAGTTATTCAGGTTGAAACTTTGACATCTTTGTTTCGACAATGGTCCTGTTCATCGAAAATATGTCAGAGTATTACTGGCTCGTAATTTTCCCCTCGAAAGTAGCATGGCTCAATAGGGTTCTTCAGAGTGCTCAATTTGAGCTCATTTGGGCTCCATTTCAACGTCATTTGAGATTCGTTTGAAACTCGGCATGAGCTCGGCACAACTCGGGAACGCCCAAAATCATGGCCCATTGATTTTGAGGTGGTACGGTCAAAGCTGAAGCAGAATGCCAAGCTTGTTGGACTTTAAACTCAATCCTTCTGTGTACAGAATAGCGATGCGGATAGATAACAAATCTACCACATTTGCAGCGATGCCCACCTGTACAGATAGACAGGAGGCTGCTGATGCCCTCCACCAGGCGTTTCTCGTCAACTTCCTCACAGAACTTGAGGCCCGGAAGCTCCGGGATGAGCTCACATACGGCGATCTCTCTGGGGACTTGGACTCGGACCGCTCAGACGTTGACATGGACAGCTCGTCTTCGTCTTCACTTTTTTCAGAGTCCAGTACATCATCAAGCTCGGAGGAAGAGGGTACAGCTGCTCAGGACTATGTGGATCAGATGGCAAATCTCTATTCAGAGCATTATCTTCAAGAACGTTGACCTATCACCAAAACACAAGAAAACTTGCGCCTTCTTCTCGACGACCACAAGATCAATCACCCTGAAATTTTCCGATCTTACCTCAGGATAACCCCTGCCTGTTTCGACGATCTTGTCTCTGCCATCGAAGATGATGAAGTTTTCTCTAACAACTCGCAAAACGATCAAATGCCAGTAACAGAGCAAGTTGCTATTGCACTCTACCATTTTGGGCACTATGGGAATGCAGCATCATGCATGAAGGTGGCCTTACACTTTGGTGTTGGGTACGGTACTGTCCAGCTTGTGACAACACAAGTCATGAAGGCCTGCTGCTCAGAACGCTTCCGAGCTGCATCTGTATAGTGGGCAAGTCCCCAAGCGAAGGAGGCTGCAAAGCAGTGGGTGGAGAAGGCATCATGTCCAGCATGGAGGGATGGTTGGCTTATGGTTGATGGCACCCTTGTTCCTTTGTTCTGCCAGCCTGCTTTTTTCGGAAATGTGTGGTTTGATAGCAAGTCCAATTACTCAATGAATGTTCAGGTATGTGCTTCTCATATTTCTTTGAAGGCTCAATATCAACTGAGCTATGCTATCTGCAGCTTGTTTCAACTCCTGACTGCCAGATTATCGACTATGCTGTTGGACTGCCTGGCAGTCAGCATGATGCCTCTGCATGGGAAGAAACTCAGACCTTTCAGTGCCATTCTCAGCTTCTTGAAGATGGCGAGTGGGTGTGGGCTGATTCAGCCTACCCTTTGCAGAAATGGTGTCAAGCACCATACAAGAAGTGAGTCATGAAACACTATCATAAACAGGACATGGAAGTGATCATGTATCTTTCCACAAGGCCAGAAAAACTTACACGGGACAACACAACCCACAACTATCATGTCTCTGCTGTACGAGTGCGCTCCGAGCACTGTGTTGGATATCTCAAGGGCCAATGGTCATCCCTCCGTGGTCTCCGTGTTGCGATAAACAACAGTGCAGGCCTTCAATATGCAACTCTCTGGATTATTGCATGCATCCATCTCCATGCATTTGCAATGAAACATGAGGCTGGCCAAGATATGTCCTCTGACAAATTTTATCGGCAGGGGAAGAAGTACCAACGCAAGCAGCAGCACCTTGAGAGATGTTGGCGTCAGGAAAGGCGAAACAGAAATGCAGAGGAGGAGAACCAATTGGATCAGGTAAATGATATTGGATTACTGGAGGGAAAACTAAAGAGAGTGGAGCTAAAGGAGAGTATACTAGAGTATCTTGGCCAATGAAGCAAGTAATAGAGGATTAAAGTAGCTTTGGTATTATATATAGTAACGAGAGTTAAAGATGACTCATGAAAATTAGCGAAGGTCAGGGTGGATGTTGTCATTGAGAAAGCGGAAAGGTGGAGGTGGAGCACCACCAGCAGGCCCTCCATGATGAGGACCAGGTGCATCCCATGGCTGGGCAGGTGGTGGTGGTGGCTGAGCAATGCCAAAACGCATCTGGTGCTGCATCTCGAGCATATGTATCTCATGTGCACGCTGGCAATCAGCCTCCTGAGCCTGATGTTGCATCCGCTTTAGCTCAAGGTCAGTCTTGAGCTTACCACGAATGCAAGCCTGCTCTGTCTTCTCCTTCTCCTTGAGTGTGATTACTTGAGTACATTGGTGACGATCTTCCTCAGCATGTAATGACCTGAACAGAGGGGGGGACTTGGCCTCAGCATGCTCTCGTGCTGTGCCCCTACATATCATCTGGTTGTCCCCAATTTACAGGAACTGCCTTGGTCTTGACAAAGGAGAGACAAGAAGAAATCATCCTGGCCAAGGCCCAGGAGACAGAGGATGAACAATAGAGCAGAGGGGTTGTCAAGGTTGAGATTCAAGCTGGGGAATCCAGTACACTACCTAGCTATTTATACTATTGAGAACAATGGAGAAGATCTAGGTTATGTAATGAATGCCAGCAGAACAATGACAGAGAACAATGAAGACAATAATGAATAGAACAATGAAGGGAAAGCCCATTGATGAACCAGAACAATGAACAATGGGACAATGGAACAATGGGTTCAGGAATGGGATGTGACACAGCAATCTCATAGATCTTGTCATGAATTGCTTTGTGTCGAGTGGATGGTGGTGCAGGTGTTGCTCTAGCTTTCTTTGGTGCAGATTTGGGTTTGACGTGTCGGTCGTGGCGATCCAACCACACTAGATTTGTCAGCATAGTTGTCAGAACAAGAATCATCATCGTCAATCTCAATTTCCTCAGCAGCACTGGCATCATCTTCTTCCTTCTCATTGAGGTTTATGTCCATCTCATCAGCATCCGACTTGCCAGAGTCATCATCTACAACCTCAACCTCTGACTCATCATCACTGGAGGGTTTCAGGGGCCGTTTTCGCTGTTGAAAGGGTGTCAATTATGTCTAGGGTTGCTAACATGAAAACTATCATACCTTTTTGCCAGCACCCACATCAAGAACAGCAGTATTGACAGAAGTCTGACTGTGTGCGACTGCTGAGCGGTCCACAGTGGGATTTGTCCCAAGCAGGTCGTGCATCCAAAGGAACCACGGAAACTCCTGGTTGACTTCCTCTTTGGCAAATATGAGACATGCATTCACAAAGGAAAAGAAAAGAGCTAACCCCAAAGATTAGCCAAGGGAGTTCCAGCTGTGATTTCGTCTTGACGGCCTGCATCGAGTAAGCCTTCCCCAGTTGCTCCAAGTGTTGCCCGATGCTCGCGGTACAACTTCTTCAACCTGTATGACTGTGGTATTTATGATGATTAGAGCATATCCAAAGTACACACACACAGAAATCTGATTTCCGACTGCTTTAGCAAGTGCAGAGAGGTTGTCTTTACGAAACGAGAGCTCTGACTGGCCCTCGGGGGGTTCTTCTGTCTTGAAAAAGAGACTCTGTGCCACTTCAGCAAGGAGCTTGGCCATGGGCTGGCCACCAGTTGAAACAGATGTAGACTGGTCCTTCAAGAACCCGAAAGCCTGACGGTAGCGTGGCTTATCCTCGATGATCGTGAGGAGGCTGTCAGTGTAGTGGTGGTAGATCCCCCGTTTCCATCTGCATGTCACGATTAGATCAGTCCAGAGGAGCTAAAAAAAGAACTATTATGGCATGTACTTGACTGTGGCAGCTCTTCTTGCCTTGGCCCCCTCTTTTGAGGGTTTTTTTGCCCCACCTTTTTCGTCTTGTTGTCCCTTCTTGACCGTCTTCCCGTTGCTGTTTTCTTTGCCGGAAGGAGGCTTCTTTTTGGTGTTGTGCTTGGTGATGAGAAGTCGAGCCTCAAGAAGCTTCTTCTCCTTGGTGGCTGAAGGCATGACATGTCAGGGAAGGTCAGGAACACGTCTAGGAGGGGAGGGGAACGCATCGCTCCAACCGCTGTGTATGCAAGGCAGTTTGAAGTCCGATGAGCTTGGCATTCTGCTTCAGCTTTGAACGTACCACCTCAAAATCAATGGGCCATGATTTTGGGTGTTCCCGAGTTGTGCCGAGCTCATGCCGAGTTTCAAACGAATCTCAAATGACGTTGAAATGGAGCCCAAATGAGCTCAAATTGAGCACTCTGAAGAACCCTAATATTTGTGTTCTATATTTTGATTTCTAATTTGTTAGTTTATTACTTTTGAGCAAAATGTCTCCCCGAATTTACATTAAAATATTACAAATTTTCAGTATATTCAATTCGCAGAATAACCGCAAAATGCTCACAAAAGTATCGTAATAATAATAATGAAATACTTCATAATTATTCTTTAATAATATGGCATTTTACTGTTCTGGTACTCTAAAACTTGACACTTAATGATTTTGCCAGTCTCACCTGCTGTGGACTTGGGCACACTGCATGTCCAAGTTGCCGAGTGTCTGCCGGATTCCCAGTTGTCTGCAGTTGGGGTCATGAGCAGCACTTTCCGTTTTGGGCTGCTACGTAGGGCAGATCATCGAATCTGAGATGTACCAATCGACCTAGGACTCCAGTCAACCCTGTTGGAAGAGCGGAGCTATCCGAGCTTCGTGGGAAACCTGCTATGTACATCGGAAATTCGCTATGCCAGCTTACATGCGCTTACACCGGACGTTGTTCTTGCCGTCCACCATGCCACACCAAGCAGTTGCAGGAGAGCCCGACTCCAAAAGAAGCAGGAAACAATCAGCTATTACCAGAAGAGAATTGATTGCACTGTACGAAACTCTTCAACGTGCGAGGCAGCGAATCACCGAAATGGCGCAGGTGGGAGAGGATGGCGACGGTGATCAGGAGGAGGAGGACCTCTTTACAATCGGTCCAGCGGCACAGAAGCTTGCGGAAGTCCTCAAGATGTTGGAGCCAAAGGTGCATGGACGACCAGTATGTCAGATCGCTTCGTATCTGCATGGTACCCCTCACTTCAAGGTGTTTCCACTATCTTCCATCCAACAAGGCGAAATCGACACTCTCAACGTTCGAGAAGGCCAAAACCTCGAGCTACGTGACGATCCTGCTCGATTGAGCTTGGAGCAAGAACGCGGGGTGAACCAACTCTGGTCGAACGATGTGCTCTATCGACATCTCTGTCTGCTGCAAGGATTAGTTACACAGGTGAGCTCAAAGAGATCATCAAGTATCTGATATGACGATTCCCTTAGACTGAAGCCAGCGCGCGTACCTGGATCGACGCAATTGTCTTCCGGGCCCTGGCGATGCTCTCATCATCGTTAGCGGAGCAGAGAAAGCAGCTGGTTCTTGGCCTCAAGCTACCTGTCTCCGCTACTGTTGGCCAGGCAGTCTTGAAAGGATTCATAGATTACACTATCCTCAAGGCCGGAAAGACTCCTGCTGGTGACATTACCTTTGCTCGCCGTCTTACAAAATGAATGTTTCTAACCCCATCCCTTGCAGCTTCATTCCTACGAGCTCCTCAGCTGAGCAAACTCGCCAAAGAGTCCGACCTTGCGCTCTTCGTCGCGGAAGCGAAAGCAGTTGGCGTGCCTCTTGGTCAGCAAGTCCCACAGGCGCTGGGGGAAATGTATGCCTGTGCCGCAACTCTTAAGTCCGATGTCCGTTTCTTCTGTGTCGGCCGCGGCTCCTACTGAATTTAGACCCTTTTCATAGAAAGGGTATTATACGTGGCGCGTTGACTAATGGGCGTGTCTGGATTTTCCTTCTTCTGAAGACAAATGCCGATGAGCCTGGCGCAACCTACCATGTATCGCACGAGGTCTCGATTATGGGAGCGGACCACCTTTTCCGTCCCCAGGTTGATCCAAAGACGTGTGCGACTGTTGTTGCTATCGTTGCTTATTGGGTATTCAACTGTTCTCTCTCTTTCTCGCCTTCTTACTGACAGAGAACTCTCTGTAGATTGAACACAGCTTCGAGGATATTGGAGATGAGGACTGGTTCAAGTTTGCATCTCAATGATCCTCGACTCACCGACATCGTGAATATCCTCTTTTCCATTGGCATAAAAGCCTATCTCATGCGAATATATGTCCTTGTGCATCTCTTTAGCTGGCGCTCCACGACACACATGATATAGATGGTCGCTTCCACTTCTCTCCTTTTTGTCGAGGTCAATCCTCTCGAGCTCCAGTCCAAAGTTTCGACAATTCTCTTGAACGATGCATATACAGTAAACTTTGTAATATCTAGGTGGAATGCCACTCGATATCGCGGTTGGACAGAGGAAATTCAAATCATGCATCTCAGGGTCAGCGCCGATCATGATAATTCGAGGAGATGGTGTCTGCGTCGTGAGTTGTCCTCCACATGCGTTGACAAACGTTCTTGACTCTGAGTGAATGGGCAAAATGCAACGAGGGAGAGAAGAATGAATCGGGGCTAGCGCTGACATAGCTACTTCTATACGTAGCGGGAGCAACAGTACAAAGATGCAGCGACGAATAACAAAAATCCGACCAAAGGACTCTCTGCCATAGACCACGACTGTTCGGATCTAGCAGATCGTACATTTCACTCGATGCGCATGAGATATTGTGGCATTTACCATTATGTCCTCACTCGTCCTTACGATACAGATATAAAATAATTTACCAGGCCAGGCTTTCTAGGCTCTTAATACATTTCCTTCATGCCCCCGTCTATGAATCCGAACAATCATCCGGAACCGTCTCGTCATCGTCGAACTCAGGACCAGCGTCCGCCCCCAACCCACGGCTCGCGAACGCCTTGAGGACCGTACACCTATGCTTCCCGTCGTACCGGTTCGCATCTGCCTGAATCCACGCATCGCGTGCTTGGACGACTACCGTTTAAATTCCCGATTTCGAACGGTCAGGAATTAGAACATGCACTCCCGTTTCTGACTCGATGGGAAGCGGAATGGACTTACAGGTAGGGTTGCAAGGCTGGATAGCCAGCGCGTCGATGAACAGCCGGAGGAAGACGACGTTCCCGGAAGAACAGTCCGGGTTGGTGAACCTCTCGGTGGAGTAGTCGAATTCGTCGACGAGGGAGGCGTAGACGTTGTGCAGCATGTTGGCCCAGACTTCGCCGATGCCTAGTATTGGATATTAGATGTTGGTCAGTAAAGGCAGAAGTAATGGTCAGGATGAGCGTACGATGCACTTCGGTATCTTGCTTCAGGTTGGAATACCGCAGAGGGTTTGTGGTTCTGTTAACGAGATATTTAGTCACGGCGCGCCTAGAAGGAAATGAAACGTTGATCACGACGTACGCGTTGACAGAATAAGGAAACCGACGTATGCCCTTCGGCCTATCCGAGACATAGGATGCGAGCGTGATGTCCTTCGTGGTAGGAGCCGACTGTTGCATCCATCTGCACAGAAGAGTTAAAACCAATTAAGCCAACTATTTCTTCATTATTTCAATACCGGCGAAGGCTATGTACTCACCCAGCGAGAGCGTCGCTCCAGCCCTCTCCGAGCCCGCCTGACTCGACGGTTTGCAAGCACCTCGCCGTGCCGCCCCCAGTCATCCGGTTCGTGATACCGTGGGTCATCTCGTGGATGAGGATGTCGTTTTGCATCGCTCCGTCGCGGTTGGGCTGAAGATGAGGAGTAAGTACCCATCTTGGAATTATGTAGAGTATAACAGAAGAAGGCACGTACCTCGGTCAAGTCCCAGATGAACATACTACACATGCCTGATTCGCCACTACGAGGAAGCCGTCGTCAATAAAGAATCTTCTGATCGCGGCTTGTACAAACATACTCAGGCGGCGTAGCAAAAAACGCATTATTAAACCCCGATGAATCCTGGACGAAGACCTGCACAGAGTCGTTTCCAACTCCGCCTTTGCCGAAGTTATCTTGCTGGAAGTTGAACGCCTCCTCGGTGAATCCATAACGGTAGACGATGTCGTGAACGAGGTTGAGAACATAGAAAGCGTTCGCCCGCGCGGCGTTCCCGTTGGCGGTCGTGTTCGGCGCGAGCGTGTCATCGTACTTTTCCGTGAAGGTGAGGTTGGTGGATTCTTGGAGCTCGATAGAGCCGTTACGGATGGAGAAGGCGATGAGGTTGTTTCCGCTAATTGCAAGATATGAGAAAGAGACCAATGGCAGGCAGTTGAGAAGCATACACTGTTGTGTTCGTGATTTCACCGTCGAAGGTGTGCCATCCCAAGGGCGAGACTGTGGTATCTTCAGGATCGGTAACCGTCTCAAGACCATCTGCGATGCTCGCTTTGTCGATGGGAACCACAGTGTACTGTAGTCAAAACCAATGTCAGTCTCCTGAGGCCGATGGTTGACACAAATAACACACACCGTAGCATGGGCAACAAAGTCAGTGACGGAAACGACCTCGCCCGACTTGGCGTCTACGAACACCTCGTACGCAGCCCCGGCCAATATGTTGCGCAGCTGGACGACATAAGTGAGTGCGAGAGAACCGTCGCTCTTCACGAGGTATTCGAGAGTTGGTTCGCTGTCTGCGGGCTTCGTCGCCTTGAAATCGGCTTGGATCTGGGGGAGGACGTCCTCCAGGTTGATTGTGGGCGTTGCGGATGGGATACGGGCTGATGAATAGTGTGTACGGTTCCGGTGAGCAACTGCGAGATGAAGAAACCTATAAAAGCCACCTGAAGTGAGATCGAGGAAGGACGATCCGTATGAAACAACTTTGTCGCCTTTGAATGCGACGTTAGCTACAGCATTGGAGATGGGGGTGCCGTTCTGTAATAGTAATAGGGTTTTCGTCCATGTTCATGTTCACTTCACTTCATAAATTCGCAAGGCAGCACCCACCAACGATTGCTTGAGGTACGCATACCGCGTCTGTCCTGAAGAGAAGCCGGATTGATACAGCAGGCCAGCAGTGTCAACGCCGAGAGAGCTCATGTAGGTGCGCGCGGACGCCTCGATGGACAGCTTCGAAAGTGGCTGGTCGCTCGTGAAGGAAGCGCCGTTGGTACCGAAGGTCTTCAATATTTGCGCGCATCAGAATGAGCGACTTTGATCTAGAGAAAAAAAAGGATACCTTGAAGGTCGATCGTGGGTGATAGCTTTCCAATCGTCTCCCTCCGATAACTCGCCTTCTGTGCGTCGCGTGCTTAGACGTCGGGGGATACGGTATAGCCGCAACGGAGGAAACGAGAACCAGGGCGATGAATAAAGAAAAGAAGAGCGTCGGAATGTGGGGAAAAGCCATTATGAAAGATTATTTGGAAAAGCCTGATCGTTCAACGACAGGATGAGGACGAGGACGAGGACGTCGGGGAAAGGGAACCAGCCACTTTACGAACCTCAGCGCCGGCAGCACGTTCTTTATATCACTCGCTTGCCGCGCTCGGGTCGTGAGTGGCCCTTAGGCCATTAACAAGGGGCAAGGTCACTACGAACGCCGGGAGACCCATTGCAAAGCGTGTCAGCATCGTGCCGGCAGCCATCATCTGCGACCAGCCCCGCCCAGCTTGCTGCGTTCCAAAGCAGTCGCAAGCATGCTCGATCTCCACCAGACATCGCCATGAGCGCGTTCTATGCTCAGCGCTCAGCTGGTTTGCTGGTCGTCAAGTTAAACTTGGTCTCAAAGGGTTCAGATTCACGTAACATATCAGAGAAATGCCCTGCACAATCACATAAAATAACCAGACCATGATGGTAGGTTTGGAACGTTCAAGACCTATTTTTGGGCTATTCGTCTTGGCATGCTGATACTAGGAAAATACAGCCACAAGGCAGCGCTGGCGCTCGAGTCCTTCAAGAGCGCTGATGCTGATTATGGTCGATTGCAGAAATGTTGGATATCGATTTCCACCTCTCACCGGCGTTTCGTTCCTGTCATCATGACGACGAGGCGCAATTCAGCATAGTTCCCCACCTAGTATAATCCGGCCACCGACACCTAGGTCGACGTAGCATTCTGCTGTGTTTAAAGCTTTGGGAGTCCGGGGTTGCGTCGACAGAAGAAAGACTTGGTCGTAGTGGAAGTTATGGTGAAAGATTGGGTGTGACGCGCGTCGTGACTTAGTGACTGCTTGTAACTTAGATGATCCCGGCAACGTCCGTCTGACTGATGTCCTCCTCCGGAGTCCAACATCGATTGGACGCGTCTCAAGGTGCCAACTTTCTGCTTGCCATGGATCTCGAACGTTTTTATGTTTGAACCCTTATTTTAAACTTGAATCTCGGGAATGGAATACCCAATGACTCTGGATGACTCGCAAGCTCGGTGGCGACCTATGCCTGGAAAATGCTGGAAAATCAAATGGACAATGCTTCGAGCGGAGAGGTGCGTACTAACCCTCATACGTTTCCGAGTACGTTTTGAGTATTTAGCAGCCCCTCCCGCAGCAGCCAGGAAGGCAACTCTCCTGGAAGACCTCTGTGCAGAGTTATGCAAAAAGCACCAATTCCCTAACACGGATCTTACGGACTTTCCTAGTTTCATTACCCTCGGAGTGTGGAGAATGTTGACCAGTCGGAAGAAGAGACCTGCTCACTCCATATTCGAATGGAGTTGGATTTACCGACATATTCAGTTCGTCGAGCGGGAGGAATCTGCTTGGCGAGCGCATAAGACGACCGGTGAGTTCTGTCGGCGTTGCGAAGAAGCAGTGCCTACGGGCAGCAGGCCTTCGGTAACCGGTATAATTAAACTGACGCAGTGATCTTTGCAGAATACATAAAAGGCGACAACTCCGTTGTGGGGTGCTTGATAGATGCGATAGGTACCGACCTATAGAATATGTTGCAAGCTCGATGACGAGGGCACGAATGACCGGCGGGTCTGGGGATAACTCGCGCCATCTTAGTTCTCTGTTAGAGACTGCGAGCGTTGAAAGGTAAGCATTATTCTTATACCCAATACCTCATCACCAGCGGTTCAACGTTCAACGTTTGAGTCAGAATTCGTCAGGTCAGCACTCGACGTACATGGGTTCATACCAAGTGCCCTCGAAATGATACTTGGCGATGTTCTATTGCCTGGTCTACAGCCGGGCTCGGCTGTTCAGCACAAAAATAGACCGCCACATCTCTTCCTTCATTCTTCGAAGGCGCAAACTCAAAGAATGGCGATGATCATTCGTGCTTGACCCTCTCAACGCATGACGACGTCTATTTCAAGTGACGACGCCATCTCTATCTCGCCGATTCATGAGGGTCATTGTCGGGGGGACCGCCCCGCACGATACGCCGACAGGTTTATATATAAAGGTCCTGGCCTCGAGACTGTCGCGCTCGCTAGTCAGTTAGCTATTAAGTATACTCTTTCCTTCGCGATGTCCTCGTTCCGCAAACTCCTGGCTTCGACCGTGTTGGCGATTTCATTCGTTTCGTCGGCAGCTGCGCTGTCGACCGCCGACCGCCATGCAACACGTCGGTCTGTCAGCATCGGGTCCGACCTCGTAATCGAGGCGTACCATCCGCCCAGCACCTTCGAGGTATCTACGTTCCCTCAGATTTGTCAAGAGTGTTGCTAAATCGGAAGCAGACTTTCAACACGGGCGTTGACCACCCCCTGTCGAAGCGCGCCGTTTTCTCTCTGTCCGACGCCGCGATGGCGTTCACGGGCTCCCGCCTGGCGAAGAATGCCAGCGACATGGTGTTCAGATCGGGGTTCTCGAGCGGGTTGGCGGAGCATGCGTATCTCTCGCAAATCCACGTTCGTTCCTCCTTCAGCTATATCATTCGTCATTGCGCATGCATTCTGACGGCCGGATTCAGGACGGGATCCCATTCGCGAACGCTGTAGCGAACGTCGCCTTCAACAAGGATAGCAAAGTTAGCCTCACGCGGGATTTATTTCTGGTGTACGCCTCACAAGCTCCACTTCTTCTAGGTCACATCCTTCGGCTCTTCTTTCGTCGAATTCAGTGAGTCTTCGTTTCGCCATCTTCGAAGCCTGTGAGTCCCGAGGCTCAAACGACCTTTCTCCAGCCTCCGTCGCACCCTCTACCCCTTCCATCGAACTATCGGCTGCGATTCCGATGGCTGAACAGGCCCTGAACGGGAAGTTCAACGAACACCCTGCGAGCCTCGAGTACTTCGCCAAGGCGGACGGCACCGCCGTCTTGACCCACGTCATTCAGGTAGAGAATGAAGAGCTCGGCACGTTCTTTGAAGCCTTCGTAGACGCCCATTCAGGCGAACTCGTTTCTGTCACCGACTTCGTGTCGAAGGCGTCCGTGAGTAGTCCTTTCCTATGTAAATGCCATCTATTTATGACGGTTGCTTCGATGGCTCTCAGTACCTCGTGGTCCCGATGGACAGAGAGACACTCGAGCAAGGCTTCGAGACCCTCGTAGATCCTCAGGATATCGAGGCGTCGCCTGTGGGCTGGCATAATACAGGAACTGCCAACACAACGTAAGCTCTTACAAAGCGGTTTGGTGTACCTCTCTGACGGAAAGTCGGTCTTTAGAACAACATCGTGAGTTGTTTGCTGCAATCGAGGGATTGAGGATAACTAACCACTACCTAGGGGGAACAATGCCCTCGTCTTTAAGACTTCTGCGAGCTTCACCTCGAGCCAGACATCCGATGAACTCAACTTCGAATATGTCCAAGATCCTTCCGCGGCACCGACCGTGCAAGTTAATGTTGACGCAGCACGCGTCAACGCCTTTTATGTCGTCAATAGTATACATGACTTGACGTACAGGTGACTGAACATTAGGCAATATATGTTTTCCGGCTGACAGTACCATTACCGCCTCTAGATATGGATTCACCGAGGTCCGCACTGGCCGAGCTTCCTCGGCGTTTTCGAATTTCTGACTTTGTTACCGAAGGCCGCTTTCAACTTCCAAGTGAACAACTTCGGAAAGGGCGGTCGGGGGAATGACCAAGTCCAGGTGTCTGTTCAAGATTCGTCGGGCACGAATAACGCGAACTTCGCTACGCCGGGCGAGTATGTTTTTATACTACTGATGACTTGGCCGGTGTTTGTGTTACTGATTTTCTTGACATGTACAGTGGTCAGCCAGGACGGATGAGTACGTTCCAACGACGCATCTTATACTCCTGGTGCTAATTATGTTTAGGGATGTATCTCTGGACCATGACGACTGTGAGTTTTGCCCCTGCTTGTCGTGAGGATACCTCTAATTTAATTTGGCAACCCTTCCAGCCAGGACGCGATGGCGCTCTCGAGAACGATATTGTCATACATGAGATGACCCACGGTGTCACGAACCGCATGACGGGTGGGGGCACGGGACGCTGCCTGCAGACAGCCGAGGCAGGAGGAATGGGCGAAGGTACGGAATTTACTTCTGTTTTATGACTCTCCACGACTAATTGTGCATCTTAGGCTGGTCCGATGCCATGGCAGAGTAAGAGAAACTAGTAAATGTTGGAATTCAACTGATGGAAGCTTGCAGCTGGAATGAGAAGACCTCGAGTGAGGTTCCCGACTACGTACTTGGTCAGTACGTCACCAACAGGCCGGGTGGTATTCGCTCGGCCCCATATTCAACAAACGCGTAGGTTTCCTTCTCTCATATACATATCGGCCGCACACTAACGTGACCGCGTCGTCGTTCAATATAGATCGGTGAACTCCCTGCGGTATTCCTCCCTCCAGATTCGCACCCAGGTGCACGGTAAGCAACAAGATCTTATTTCTTCGTCGATACCTGGGCATTTATCTCATCAAACCTCCAGCAATCGGCGAAGTCTGGGCCAACATGCTGCACAACGTGTATGCGAACCTCGTCGACGCGTTGGGCTGGTCGGCCACCGCGCGGACAGATCCTACCGGAACCGAAGGCAACGTCGTCTTCCTCCACCTCTTCTTGGACGCACTTACCATCCAGCCGTGCAATCCGACGTGTAACTACTCTCATATTTCTATGATATCGTGTTGTATGGAGCTGACTGAATTCGCAGTTATCACCGCGCGCGATGCATGGATCCAAGCGGACGTGGACCGCTATCAGGGTGCCAATGCTTGCCTCATCTGGAAGGCGTTTGCTAGTCGAGGGCTTGGTGTTGGAGCCGCGAACCATGTTGATAACACAGAGGTTCCGGCTGAATGCGCCTGATGGTCTTCGAGCTTACTGTGTTGGAGAAATCAAGAAGCATATACCATGTCCGCGTCGTGTATTATTATTAGAAGAAATTGGTTTGTATCATTCGCTACTTTGGACATGATCCCGGCAAACGGACTTCAATGACTCGCGCATGACACCCAGCATCGTCACGTATTGGTGTTGGCAGCAGCTGCAGTCTCGATCTTTAAGATGCCGCTAAGCTCTTGACAATTTTACGTGAGTGAGACGAGGAATAGGCGCCTAGGCGCCCATGGGCTGCCAATCCCTCAGACCTGAGATTACCGGCGTTTGCCGAACCCCTAGCCGTGGCGAAAGATTTTGTCTCCATCATTCACCTAAACTTGATAACATGTCCGGCCCTACGCCAGACCGTTCATCCCGCCTTTCGAAGGCAACTTCTCAGGTGTCCGAGAGAATCGGAAGCAGTAGTCAACCGCTTCGTTCACAAGTCAAGAAAAACAAAGGTCTCACCACAGCCGACGCCGAATCTCCTCAAAAATTATATCTTCGAATCAACCGGAAGTTCCTGCTTCTACACTATCCCCTCACAGCAGATCAGCAAGACAAACAACCATTGCCACCACCTCCAGGCGCAACTACCAACTTGAATGTTATCATCGCCAACCTTCCCGAGCTACGTCCATTCGCCGGCGATACTATAGACTGGCTCGTCAAAGTAGCAAGGCTTATCTTCGAACCACTCGGCACGACCTCTCTCTATACCTTCAGCACCGAATCACTCGAATGGTGGCTGGACAGGGAGATGGAAGCGTCACAGTGGAGGAAGGTGGTACCTGGCGAGCCGCTGAAGGCCACCATATACGAGTTTCGTCCCGACAATGACGCTTCCATACTGGCGCTCACAAGGATGAGCCTTCGTAGCACGAGATCCGTGACGACGAGGACATCAGTGCCTCGAGCTGCGACGTTCCGCGGCGCTCTATTTCATCGCGATCGGGCGTGCGTCGTCACGCAAGGTAGGTCAGAGACCTCGCTGGTTTCGTCTCACTTGATTCCACGGTGTCTTGGGGAACCTTGGTGTTCAATCTGTCGCGGAACACTTCATCGGCTCCCCAACCGTAGTGGACAGATATGATCCTACGATTGGGGTTCTTCTCTTCATAGGGCTGGCTGTACGTGCTGATGTTTTCCAGCTGTGATTTTGGGACACTGGACCCGTAAATCTTCTTATATTCCACACTGTACCACGTTAAAATTTTGCATCGCAGGACCAATACATCGTCCACAGTTTTGTCGACATCCCTCTGAATATTTATGGTGGGGAGTTATTCACGAACGAAAGAGTGTTACATGGCTGCCAGATTGCCTTAAAAATGCATGACCCTTCGTTGTCCCTCCCACTGGCTGGTGTGTTTGACTGGCACTACACCCAATGTGTCCTCAAAAAATTTGCCACCCCTGCCTATAAAGCCATAAACAATGTTTACCATCAATCCTTGCCGTTCCGTACAAGAGACGTCTTCGGCAGCGACGACGAGAGTGTCATCGACTTTGATGATGAAAGAAACATCGCAGATCCGCCTTATCCTTCTTACTTTTGGGATCTTTCTGCATTGAGCGCTTGGAGGCACTAGAGCACAGCCGTGCTATTGTCGCTTGGAACTCCGGTGTCTCTGTTGGTAATGAACGGGATTCAGTGGGAAATGGCGAACTATAATATTGCGACACTGCATTATTTGCTTCTATATCACTTGTAATAGGCGTCATTTGGGTATTGGGGTGCTCATGCTTGAGGAGCATCGGTTGCGTGGGTGGTCTCTGGGTGGTCGTTGGCTGTCGAAGAGGACAAACAATTTATGGGAATAAGAAGCCAATTGGATGGTCGTCGGGGCCACCAGGTTTCGTTACAGTCTGTGTCCGGGGCGCATTCAGGACTCTCGGGGATCCTCCTCTCCCGCTATGTTTCTATTTCTTTTTCACGCCAGAATACCCAGTACTAAGCACTAAAACCGGGCGGCGCAAGGCGCCTACGTAGGTCCACGAAGCGACTCGTGAGAAATCTGAGGCTGAATATCCAGCTCGGCAGGCTCGGCTTTTCGCCTGCTGGCTCTGTTCCTTTCGATGACGACCGCGACACTCAAGTACTCGAGCTCAAGCGCTCAAAGTTGGAATCTTCCGATATTGAAAACCTTCCTATCACAACTGGACCGCAGAAGAAGACAAGGTTGACTATAGAATGCTATGTTGAGGTACGCATTCTTCAAGTTATCTTTGGCAAATTTCCGTTTGTTCTGTCGCCAGCGGCGTCTACACAAAACTAACATTTCTTTTGAAAGATCGAAGAAATAGCTTTTGAAACTAGCGTGACGACCTACACCCGTACGTCTCCCCTGTTGTCGTTGGGCTGGCTTTCTCCTTGCTAGACTCGTTTGTGAGCATGCGCCTCTGTCGGCTTTCCACAGGTCCACCGATACAACAATGGTTGCCTCGTTTCCATGCGATTTTGCCTCTGTGGCCATCTCTGGCTGGTCGTCATGTTGCCATTTGACGGGCCAGAAATGCGTTAGAGCCACTCGATGCCACAAACGCTTTCGCTTAGTCGATGGGCCACCCTCAGGCTTTGGCGTATATAAGACCTGGCACCTCCCCGTCAGAAATTCTAATTCCTCCCACTTGCACCAAATTCGCCTGTTTACACAACCCGACCATGCTCTCCATCACCCTCCCCATCTGCCACCCCCGCGAGATCGAGCACACTGCGGCTCTCTATGTCAACGGCAGCGACACGTCGATCGCGACTTCGTCTGCTGTTATCCAACAAATTCATATCGCGGCCATTACGCAGCCAAAATACACGCGTTCTCTTGCGCTCGTGGTCAACAAAATGCTCCAGGATCTCCATTGGAGGAATGTCCACCTGCACGTCACATTCCAGGAAACCATCCTCGACCTCGCCCAGTCCACCTTCCTGAACTACTGGAATGTAAGTGTAACTGTCTTGGATCGATGGATCATCTGCTCATCCTCTCATAGCACGTCTTCCACGGTACCCGGGCTGAACTCGACGACGATGACGACTTCTGCGAGGTCAACATGGACGCGATTGACCCCTTGGCAGTTTCTTCCTACATCGGCGACTTGTTTTCTCTCGGCCTGCTCTCTTTCAAGATGTTCGATCGAGCAGCTACGTACCTGGTCAGCCGCATGACCAAGTTATCGCACATCCACTGCGTCTACGCACTGTTCGCGCACGCGGGTGCCTACTATAACCCTCAGATGTCTCGCGACTTCCTCCGTGGGTGTCTAGGCCTCGTCCGCCAGAGCGCTCCTTATATCAAGGACGCTTATCCCGTACGTCTCATACCCATTACTTACTCAGTTTCATTTACTAACTGCGCGCTAGGATGCGAGGCTCCTGATAGACCTCTTCCACTACCTTATGTTCCGCATCCCTCGCCAAATCATCCCACAGCGCTGGGATAGAACCATGAACCTCGAAGACACGTTGCAGGCGACGGTCCTCTCGCCACTGGCCTCTTCGTCTCAACGTTCCATTTCGCGCACGATCAGCCCGGTGTCCTTCACTGCCTCCAGCGATTCGTCTCGGGAATCAGAGCACGTCTACCCTGTATCTCTGATCCAATCCTCGCCCGAGGCGGAGGACAACAAGAAGGCTGCATGTGACGTTCAGTGGGACGGGGTATATGACCCATCTGCGCTCGAGGGTGTCCATGGAATCCACCCTATTGGATGAGCTCCGCTCGGTGGTCATTTTTCCAGGCACTCCCCGAGTTCCTGGCATTGCTTTGTCTCCAAACGAACCTTTCGCGGTGGTTGACGGCGCTCTGGCCTACGCCTGAAGCTCTCCGGGCCGGTCCCGGCGTCATCTTTTGCAGACACCGACGCGCTCTTTGTTCTGGCTATTTATTGGATACTGTTCAAGAACACAAAACTCAGAATCTTCTTGTTATCTCCTCCATTATTTATCTTCGAGCCAGGGACTTCACCAGGGATTTCACCGGGCAACTGGCACGGACCGTCCTTGACAGACACCAGAAGGGACTGGATCCCGGAACGCTCCAGCTCCTCTGCTCTGGAAGTAGGCACAGTACATGCATGTACACCGCCTCATTGTAATTTGTATATAATTTGGTGCCAATGTCACTACCCCTTGGCCCACATTCACCATGTCCATGTCCTTCTCAGACTTTTCGATATTGCCCTTCGACCAGCCGCGCGAACGAGAGGCAAGCTTGAGCCTTCTCATAATTTCGATCACTCCTCGATACTTAACAACCCTAGCAGATCGTAACGCTTCCAGAGGATCGTGAGATTAGAGAGTGTGGCGAATTCTGCCATCTATGCTTAGAAGAGCGTCGGCCGGGAGCACGCCACGGATACTGCTATCTATGCGATGAAGAGTTTCAGAGCAGTCAAAATGTTGACATCCCCGAGCTTTCTGGATACTGGAATGGGGTACGCTTTGTGCCCTAAATACCTTCTTAGCGGACTGCCTAACATAGTTCACTGACTGTAGATAGCCCGAACGCGCCGGTAAGCCTCCAGCGCCTTCCTTCGGTCAGTGTGCACAAGTTACTGGCCGTTTTCAACCAGACGCCGTTGTCGACTGAAGATAAAGCTAACGGGCCACCGGATAGCCACCATCCTCTCTTTCCTGACCTTCGGCGTCGCGAAAGCGATCATGTCTTTCCGCAACCAAACTGTGGCTTCGCATTTAGACTGGATTCTTGGTCTGCTCGTCGCGTTCATGTGCGTTTGCGTCGTTCGTACTCATTAATCGTACTAAGATTTTCGCACCGTCGCAGACTTTACTACACTGGCCTCTACGAAAGTGTGAAGCCTCCAATATGGGGGTGGTGGCTGCATGAAGACTACTCAGATTCGATATTGCCATTTCTTGAAGGATATTTTTTTCATCAGTTCGACTCTTACCGTGGGTGCCGTGTTATTCGGAATCCGTTCGTCTAGAGAGCTCATTCAGTGCATCGCAGATCCTCTTCATCTCCTTATGTTTCTATGCGCTTGCATAGGCCTCGCTTTCTTGCGGTCCTTGGTGGATGCACTGAGGACATCCACGAATATCCTCGCTCACGGCCAAACCATATTCGCGCGACTTGGTTCTGCGCTTTTCTATATTGAAATACTCTCGCTAACCCTCGCAATCTCCGTGCGTACTTTTTTTGCCTATCAACGCAACGCTTGACGCGTCCTAATATACATAATAGATTGTATTCATCGTGCATGGTACCAATATCATAAAACGGAACTGGAGACTAGCCGCCCATTTCCGGCGCATCTCAGCATTCGCCAGCTGCTCATTCGTATGCTTCAATCTTGTAGTCCTGTGTTCATATGGCATTATCATTGCAGTACTCTTCAACGACTAGCTTTTCACTCGCGGTCGTCGTCATCGTGGGCTGGTGCACCCTGGCTCCAATAAAGAGGGCCATAATCGAGGAATAGTTCCTGTCCTTCCTTGACGTCTTGCTCTTTATTATGTTAAGCGAAGGCTCCTCGCTGTAGAGATATTTACCGGGCCCCTACCTGTCTCTAAGACGATTCTCGGGTCTCCGTTGACGCATATAACTATTGCAAAAAAGCTCAGAGAGGTTTGGGAGAAGCAGAGCGAAGGCGACTCACTCCTCGCGCGGCAGTTTGGGATAGAGGAATGGTTGAGGTACCTCATCTCGTTTCCAACTGTGTACGAGTCGAGCTGGACGCCTCGAGCCAATGAAAAGGCATAGTTTAATCCAGTGTGCTTCTGGACCCTGTAGATGAGAGCGAGACTCAGCATCGTCCGGCGTGACTAACTCATATAGACGGACAAGTCGAAGTAGAAGGACGCACTGAGTGATAAAATCCATGGAATCCTGCTCCGAAAATATCTCGCCGAAATATTCTGGCAGGTACGGACGATTTATATCAGAGGAGATGGTAGAGGTGAACTTTACCTCCGATGTACTTGTGTGCAGGTATATCCGTTTCCGCAAATGCACCGAGGCCGAACATGCCTGTCGAGACGCGGATGGGCTGTTTGGGGCGCCATTGAGAGCAATGACCACAAGGGAAAAACCACGAACGAGATATCGGGCTTGCTGGATCTGGTTGTTTTGACACCTCCGTCCTCTCTTAGAGCACCTAATGTTGACGATCGTCTTCAAAACACGACGCAATGGGGAGAAATAGATAATTCACTGACCTTGCGTCGCAGCTTATGCAAAGCTCAGGGTCGCATTCTCTATGCGCGCGTCGGCAGGGACAGTTTGAATCTTCGCTGCACGTCTTTCCCTTTTTGGATGAACCGCACTTGCATCCCTTGGCGCGTAAAGCGCCTAAATGTATAATTAAGCGCCCGTGCACTATGAAGGAAAGACACAAAATATGCGACACTTACAAGTTTCAGAACATCGACAATTGCGCCGACATCGCTTGCGGTCATTGTAGCAAGCGCAGTTAGCGGATTGACTGCAAGCGCCCGCGTGATTGCACGGTGGTACTCTGGAAGAATCGGCGGAGGTCAGACCGGGATCACCGACGCGGGATGAACTTACGGAGGTTGCCAGTCTTCTGGGTTTGCTTGACAGTCTTCCTCTGTGGATTAAAGAAATGTTTAGAAGCATGGGCATCACGTAATGAAAGAGGGAACGGACCAAATACGATGTCAAGCGCCCGAGGCTGGATATCGTCGTTGGATGCACGGAGATTCTCTTGGATTTCCACGTCAGAAAATGTTTTCGAGCGTTGGACGTACATCTTCAAGAATTACGATTTAATTTTTTTCCAATAATAAGGGTGTTCCCGCATCTTACCTCGATGCATGGCATCCTACAGAGGACAGCCAGATCGCAAGGCTCAGCATCCGGTACGAGCTTGATGATCGAATTAAAGAGAGAAATAGCTTCATCATCCCATTTATTGTCTTCCTAGGATGAGCTGTGAGCATGGAATGCTACCGAGAACGAGATAAATCACGATGAAGTAATCCAAGTCGTAGGTCCTAAAACAATCCCGATCGCAAGGTTCCCCGACCGAATCCTTGATCATAACATTGGTCACGGTTGGCTTGGGAAGTTCAATTGGGATCGCTTCTTCTGCTGCGCTTAAGCGATTTCAATTAGTCTAAAGTAGTAGACACTTACTATGGATGTGGCATCTCGAAGAAAGGCAATTCAAATTTGGGCAAAAAGTGAGTCGATCTTTCATGACATTCTCGTGTATATTGAGCCTTGGATTTACGAATTTAGTGGGTAGTGCTGGGAGTGCCGTCATTTGGGACCCGGGCCATAAGAGAAGGTCACTATTGTCGAGGCCCTCAACTACGCATGGCGGTCGCAGATGCCGCTGCTCACCGTTGGGATGCACTCCATATCAGGCCAGCGGACTCGTCGATCCGCAGAGAAGTAGTTAGTATCTTCAATTTGTCAATATCGCGAAAGCTCAAGCCGTCGAAATAAAGACGCCGCGCGACCTCGAGCTGAATAGTTTCTCCTGATATTTCCAATGAGGTCGAGGTGAAAAATAAAAAAAGAAGGAATTAGTGGAGGAGAAGATTAGGCCTACTGACTATCAGGGTCTTGAATTTCGGTCTGCCAAGCAAAGCTGTCGAACATGCGCAAGCACTTTTCGGCATCGAATTTTGGATCGTCAGCGAATGGCAAGAACGGGGAGGACCAGAGGAAGTCCGGAGTACTTTGAACGTTTCTAGATATTGAATTGCAGGTACTGTAGCGTGGATGTGGAGCTGATTTGTGTGGGCTAATTGGGTCCGAGTGGACTATTCCCTCGAAGAACATGCCGGTCTGGGGATTCCAGTCTTCAAGTATATGCCACTCTGAGTCTTCGGTTGGTTGACGTGGCAATTCTTCAGGAGGATTCAACGGGAGAGACCATTGAGGAAAACATCTTTTGAGCCCAGAAATTGTTTGTTGACAGTCATCGGCTTCCCAGTCGTAGAATTCTGCCCAAAGCCTGCGATAGAGCCGATAAGCGTTGTCTCCGTGTTCTAGCCAGAGGTCTTCAGGGTCATAATTGTCCACACTCTCAGGGTATTGCTCCTCGTCGTCGGATTTCATGTTGAAGATGAGCGCTAAATACAAGGAAAGATGAGAGAAACACAAAAGCGGTGGGAAAGGACAAGGAGGCTGATTAGTCAGCAGTGGTAACGTGCACTGGCGCAGTGGCAAGCCAACTCCGGTTCACAAGGCTTTCCTCATACTTCAACAGTGTCAACATTCATCATGGCGGAGAAAACGAATTCCAATATGTTGTTCGCTAATTTCAACCAGGATTTCTCGTAAGTGCTCCCTGGTCGCGTTTCTACCCGTTTGGTTGACATCAAGTGTGAACTTTAGGTGTATATCAGTCGGGACGCGGAGGGGCTACAGTGTTACAAATTGCGACCCTTTTGGACGGGTTTACACGATGAGTGAGTGTATTATATCTTACAAGACGATGTGCTCATATCTTAGCAGATGACGGAGCAAGAGGAATTGTCGAAATGTTGTTTTGCACCTCCTTAATCGTGCTGGTCGGAGCAGCGGACCAACCACAGTCTAGTCCACGGAAACTGCAAATTATGAACACGAAGGTGCGCTAGAAGAGTGAATATCTCACAAGTCAGACGCGTAACCTGACAGCAGGTCCCTAGCGTCAATCCATGATCTGCGAGCTCCTCTTTCCTTCGTCAATATTGGCAGTCAAGTTGAATCGGAAGTCGCTGGTTATCGTGCTGGAGATGGAGATTTACATCTACGATATCTCAAATATGAGGCTGCTGCATGTCATTGAGACGACACCAAACCCCGAAGGTGTGTTGTTATAGTCTTGGTGTCGTCATATCCAACCTAACACATGTCGCAGCGATATGCGCACTTTCACCGTCTGCGGACAGCTCATACCTCGCCTATCCCTCTCCAGTGCCCTCTCCAGCAACGCCTCTCGCTTCTGGCTCAGCAACTTCTAGTTCCTCCGCCTCCTCAACCTCACAGTCAGGGGACGTCCTTCTATTCTCAACACGCTCGCTAACCGTCGCCAACGTTATCCAAGCCCACAAAGCTCCTCTCTCCTTCCTTTCTATCAACTCGACTGGCACCCTCCTCGCAACCTCCTCCGAAAAGGGTACCGTCATCCGTGTCTGGAGTATCCCGGGCGCAGAGAAGCTGTACCAATTCCGACGTGGCACACGCGAAGCCCGGATATACTCAATGAACTTCAACCTTGTGTCAACCCTGCTGGCCGTCAGCTCCGCGCACGACACAGTGCATATCTTCAAGCTTGGCAACAGGGACTCTAGCAATGGGAAGAAGGGTGACTCGTCGACGTCGGGAGTCAACAGCCCGCCAGAATCGGTTGATGGAGTGACGCAAGGCTTGGATGGAGGGTATGAGGCGTTCATTGAGAAGAAGAAGGGCAACAGTGTCTCGTCAAGCCTTCGTCGCAAGTCGATGCAGATGACGAAGAGTCTGACGCACTCGGTGGGTGGGTATCTACCCAATACACTCACGGAGATGTGGGAACCTTCTCGCGACTTCGCGTTCTTGCGGCTGCCGACAAGTGGTGCGAGGAGCATCGTCGCTCTGTCAGGGTAAGCCTTGTGTTTCAACCTGCGTCGCTTTCGGTATTGAGGCTCTCCACTCGTAGGACGATGCCGCATGTTATGGTCCTATCATCTGAAGGATATCTCTACCTCTACAGTATCGATCTCGAGAAAGGCGGAGAATGCTCATTGATGAAACAATACAAGTACGCATATTCTTCTCATCCCTTCTTTTGCGCTCTCCTGACCAAATTCCAGTTTGCTTGATTCAAACGACATGGTTTCAGGAGAGGGGGTGGACCCTTGATTTATTTTTTCCCTACTCTTTACCTCTGTAGATCGTTGTTTATGGAAAAATCGTATTCAGGATGTTCATTCCAAGTGTCACGGTGTATTTTCTACTGCCCAGCGTGAAATTTTGGACGAATGAGCATTTCTGACTGGTTTGAACGAGACAAGACGTAAATGAGACGTAAATGAAAACTTTGGTCGAGTCATGTCCCTTTCATCGCGACCGCCATCACCCTCAGGGGCCCACTCAGTAGGAGTCATCCCGATCCGTTGTTTGTGGGTCCTATTCACCTTTAAATCGCAACCACCGCCACATAATCCACCATTCTCGCCTCAGCGTTCTGTCGGGGCGTCTGCCCACCTTCCATCGCGTCGAAACTTAAATCGCGCCTCTTTGCGTCGACATCCACCTGCTGGAAGAAAGGGAAGACTCAGAAGCGCCTCACACTCAACGTGCTGAAGGTCCTGAAGCCCACACACGCGGTCAACAGCGAGGTAGCACCGTCTTCTGCATCGATATCAACGTCGACGGCCGCTTCAGACACCACGATGGCACCTGGATTCTCGAGTGAGGACTCGGACCTCATTGCTTCCCTTCATGCCCTTTCCGCGAAGTCTCCGAAGCTGGTGAAGTCGTCGGTGTACCCAGCACCTGCGGATCCCAGCATCGAGATACGGAGCTGGAAGATGAACGAGTTCAAGTACTACGACATTCCATCGCCCTTTCCCACTCTCGCAAGAGGGTTATTCACGAGGGAGCTGAAGGAGGGGGTTCAGGAAGGTGCGGAGGAGGGAAAGAAGACAGTGAAGAAGTACCAAATTGTGGTTAGGGGATATGACAAGTTCTTCAACATCGGAGAAGTTCCTTGGACGACTGTATGCCTCCCTTTCTTTCATCTTGACCTACCTTTAACACCTCTTCCATTAGTGGGCGTCGCTGGAGGCGCATACAGCCCCTCCGTATACCCTATCGCTCAAGTCGAACGGATGCATCATCTTCATCGCTGCCCTGACTCCTACAAAGCTGGTTATCACCTCGAAGCACTCTCTCGGACCCGTTGGAAACTCGCCACTCAGCCACGCACAAGCAGGCGAGGCGTGGCTGCGAAAGTACCTTGAGAAGTTGGGGAAGAAGGAAGAGGACCTCGCGGCGGTGTTATGGGAGAAGAATTGGACTGCAATTGCTGAGGTACGTTTCCACCTTTCCATTTTTTGGTCAGTGCCCTTACGCTCGTGGTCTCCAGCTCTGCGATGACTCGTTCGAGGAACACGTCCTTGGCTATACCCCTGAGAAGACCGGTCTGCACCTCCACGGGCTAAACCTTCGTTCAAAGGAATTCACGACCATGCCTCATGAAATCGTAGACGCGTTCGCGGAGGAATGGGGTTTCATCAAGACGGCGACGAAAACACTCAACTCGATCAAAGAGGTCAAGGACTTCACTGACGAATGCGCGAAGTCTGGCGAGTGGAACGGAGAGGCTGTCGAGGGATTCGTTGTGCGGACTCATGTCACTGAACCACCCACCTCAGGGCGAAATTCCAACAAGGGCAAAGACAAGGAAGGCCCCACCCCCGCCCCCTCGCCATACAAAGCAGGCTCCTCGTTCTTCTTCAAGGTCAAATTCGACGAACCATACATGATGTACCGCGACTGGAGAGAGGTCACCAAGACACTGCTCTCGTCCAAGAACGGCATGAACCCTTCCAGCCTACCCAAGTCGAAAATGAAGAGGGCTGAGACGAAGGTGTACGTCAAGTGGGTCATCAACGAGATCAAGAGCAACCCCGCGGCGTTCAAGGAGTACACGAAGGGCAAGGGCATCATCGCGACGAGGGAACGGTTCCTAAAGTGGCTTGCATCGGAGAAGGGCGAAAAGGATCTACAGGAGGTGCAGAATGAGGTGCCCGTGTCGAAGGATGGGTTTGGGAAGACGATCATTGTTCCCGTCGCCATCCCTGGGTGTGGTACGTGCACATCCTTTCGAGTGGTTTTCGAACTGTGCTCAAAGAATCTCAGGTAAAACGACCGTCGCAGTCGCTCTCGCCCAGATCTTCGGCTTTGGACACACCCAGAGCGACGATGTGCATGTCAAAAAGGCTGCCCCAGTTTTCATCAAAAATGTTGTAAATCTGCTCGCCAGCCACGATGTAGTTATTGCAGACAAGTACGTTCAGTCTAGCTTCAGGATCAACAAAGTTGACGGAAAGGTCTTTCCAGAAACAACCACCTCAAGCAACATCGCCAGGCCCTTCGCGATGCGACCAAAAATATCAGCCCGCCTGTCCGGCTACTCGCACTCAATTGGGCCCTCGACAAACCGCCTGCTATGATCCATCGTATCTGCGGAGATCGCGTTCAAGACCGCGCCGACAACCACCAGACTCTCCGCGCCGACAACCACCAGACTCTCCGCGCCGACACTTCTTCAGCCCGGTCACACGAAGAGGTCATCTGGATGTTTATCAACACTACCGAGGAGCTAACACCGAGCGAGGTCGACGAAGTCATCGACATGGAGATAGAAGACACTGTCGAGCAGGCCGTGCGTCGCGCCGTCAAGGGGTGTGTGCAGGTTCTCGGGCTGGACGAGCCTAAAGAAGAGCACATCGCCGAGGCCCTGGAGGCTGTCGACGCGTACGCACCTGCCACCAAGAAGCCAGACGAGAAGAAGAAAAAGGTCGAGGCGCCCCGCTACTTTGGCCTCCTCCCTGAGGTCGACCTCGTCTCACTGCTCGATGACCGTCTCGCACAGGTCGACGTCGGTGAGGATACCAAGGCCGTCTGGGAGAAGCTGAAGAAGGAGAAGCGCGTCGCCACCCGTCCCCACGTTACGATTGTGCACAGGAACGCGATGGCCAGTGAGCGCGAGCTGTGGGATCGATGTGCGGCGCTGCATGCGATGAGCGCGATGCCTCCGACGTTCCAGGGCAGGCTTGGCCGTGTCATCTGGAACGGAAGGGTGATGGCGGTTACGGTCGAGGACCTCGCGCTTAACCATAGCGGCGAAGGAGGAGGCCCGGAGGGGGAAGAGTTTGTGTCAAAACTTGCCCATGAGGTTCGCCAGCGGCTGCACATCACGGTTGGGACGAAGTCGGGGGATATCCCAGCTGTCGAGGCGAAGGCTATGGTTGAAGCTTGGTCAAAAGGTGAAGGAGGGGATTTCAAGGTGTTTGAGCTGAAGGATGTAGTCGTGAAGGGGAGAATTAAGGGATTAATGGGCTGAACACTTTTCACTTTTTTTATCTGGAATCGAACACGTACATTCATCCCTGTAGCATATAATCACTCATCTCACGCATAAAATTTTATAACATAGATATAAATGAAAGGAAATGGCAATCTTGTCTTCAGTGACGCTGCGAAGAGAGTGCGTATCGAGGGTCTGGATCCCGTGGCCCTAATCGGAGAGCTGAATGCGAATATAGAATTCAAATATAAATGCCCTGTTCGTGCCTACCTCGATGCTTGGCCATGGCACGCTGATTGTCCCACTGAGTGCGCCGGCGCCTAACGACGAAGTTAGCGCCGGCTGATATCTGCCGCTCTGGACTTTAAATATCGCAAACCCTTCCCCGGTCCGGGTGACCGACGGGGCCAACTGGAAGGTGCAAATACCTCTCCTTTTTTGCATCGAGGTCCAAATTCAAACTCAAGGACAACCGCTAGAGCGAGGCCTCATCGCAGTTTTCTTCAACGCCAGCTTTCAGGCGAAATGGATTGGAAATGAATAAGCCAACGCCAAGCACATGGTCTGCGTTTAAGTTTTCCAAGCAGCTCTTCAGGCTGCTTTTTTTTTCTACGCAGAAAATATGATTTTACATGAGTCTAGAGACGGGAAGTTTGTTGATTCAAATTTCCGTCACAATGTCTTCGAGCAAATAACCGTACTTATGTAAACTGACACGTAAACTTGTGCCCGATATATCCAACCTCTAGGCAAAACTTCTGCCTTCGCGCATGGACTGCCAAATCACAGAGACTCACACCTTCTTTCAAGTTCTCCAGTCATTCCTTTAGCCTCCGACGGCCTCACACGACGTCGACTTCAACATCCAATTCTATGCTGAACACAAAATCCATGCGTATTCCTCCGACCTCCAGAAACCGCTACCATGCGGTTTAATGGATGCTTTTCAAGTTTCTAGGCATTCCATATCCCGAAGCTTGAGCATACTGAATTGTTGACAGGAGCTTACCTGGCGCAATATCTGACATATGTCTCTCTGCTCGGGGTCTCTCTAACCACGGTGACCTCACTCGGGACCACCAAATCAGCTGCCTCGGTCAAGGGACACTCTTATCTGCGGGGCTTGCGTTCAGGATCTATTTTCGCGAATAGGGTGGCTCATCACTTACGAGCCGCTCGGTGCTACTGCGGCCAGTGTGATAGAGCATTGCTTGTGGGGACAGTAGACGTGCCGAGAGAGAGAAGCTTCACTCACTCAGACGTAGATTTGTATCTTACGGAACGACAAACGATTCTCCAATGCGTCGCCGGGTGTTTCTGGAGTGACATTTTACTCTGGAAGAGGGTGATCCGCCAACACTGCATTATATCCGCCCGGTCGTCCACTATAAGTTCAGAAGACGAACAGGACAGAGTGCCTTTTCTTCTCTCCGTGCTCTTTCACGATGTTTTTCTGGAATGGCCCTGAGTACGAAGCGAGGTCAGGTCTCAAATCTAGAGTCATCTTACCTCGGCAGCTCACAGTCGACTAGGTTGCGAACACCTTTCTCGCCGCCGACAGTTACCTTGAAGGAGATTCACGATGCAGTACCAAAGCATCTTTTGCAGAGTAAGTCTGGCCGGCACCGCCCTCTTTTGCTTGCAAACTCTTCCGACTATCTCCAGAGAATCACTGGAAGGCTACCTACTACGTCGTCCGCGACATCACCTTCACGGCCCTCCTGTACAAGTTCGCCTACTCCATAACTCCTCTCGCAGCAGGCGACTTCGGCGGGTATATCACCTCCGGTTGGCAGAAGGCACTGGTCAAGGCGGGCATGTGGGCGTTCTACTGGTGGTTTCAAGGCCTCGTTGGTGCCGGGCTCTTCTGCTTAGGTTCGATTTCTTCGTTCTGACTGCCCAGCTCTGAGTAACATTCGTACCCTCAGGACACGACGCCGGCCACACCTCACTTTATAGCAGCAACAAAGTCAACAACACCGTCGGTTTCCTGCTCCACTCCGTAAGCAATACTCCACATATTTCCTGAACGCCAGTGTTTAATTCAGCGGTACATCAGTATCTTCTGATCCCCTACTTCGCGTGGCGCTCCACCCACCACGCACATCACGTTCGTTTGCTTTCGTTTCCCGCTGGATCAATTCCTGACATTTAAACTTAGAAAGCCACAGCTTCGATGGAGCGCGATGAGAACTACGTTCCCTACACTCGGAGCACCTACAAGCTGCCTGACGAAAAGACAGCTACAAAGGCCGACTACACAGAGATGTTCGAGGAGACGCCCCTCTATACGCTTGCCCGCCTATTCATCATGCAGGGCTTGTGAGTCTTTCCCTCCCTCAAATTCATTTCGTGAATTGAAGAACTTTGCAGCGGCTGGTGGATCTACCTGGCGTACGCTTCTCCCGCGCCATGAATTAACTACGCCTGATTTCCGAATCCAAATTAGCCGAAATACGATGGGCTCGCCCATGTATCCACCCGGAACTAACCACTTCAGCCCCAACTCGCCCCTATTTAAAAAGGAACAAAGTAAGGAAGCGTGAAACGACTGCTATTTTCGACCCCCGATGCATTTTGTTAATTTCTTCCCCACAGGAAACGATATCATTATATCCGATATCAGTATTGTCGCGATGTCGGCTATTCTTGTCTACCTTGGACGTGAGTTCTTTTTCTGGTACTACCTAATCCCTTACCTGGTGAGCGGCTCTGCTATCCCGGAAGAGCACTCTAACTTAGGGCAACCTATACAGTTCGTCAATCACTGGTAAGTTTCGGGTCGCCTCTCTACCTAACCGTGGAGTCTTGGACGGATTTGGGACGATAACTAACGAAGATACGCCCCACATCAATATCTATTTCAGGATTGGTAAGTTGCTCTCCGACAACTGAGAAAAACCCCTTTCTGAAGGTTCTCATGCCGCAGTCATGTTTACATTCTTGCATCACTCGGATCCGACTATCCCTCACTACAGGAAGGGCGAGTGGTCATTCCTACGGGGTGCCGCTGCGACGGTCGATAGACCCCTTCTGGGATGGATGGGGAGGTTCTTCTTCCATAATATCAGCCATGACCATGTCGCCCATCGTATGCTCCCAGCGTTCTATTTCCTGTGAAATTCTCGTTACTAATCTTATGTTAGATTTCTTCCTACGCGCCCCGTTCTGTGAGTACCTTATTTCCTTCTTCTCGTCAATCCCTGACCGAAGCGGCGCGGCCTTCAGACAACGGGCCAGAGATCACGAAGGCAGTCAAGAAAGTCCTCGGAGACGACTACAACTATGACTCGACGGTACGTTACGCACCGCGGTATTTGGCAGGAGAGACTCTTGGCTCACTATTCTCAGCCCACATTCTACGCGCTGTATCGGTCGTTCACCCAATGCCTGTTCATCGAAGACGAAGGCGACATCATATTCTACAAGAACAAAGATGGTGTTGCTCTCCGAGAGCTTAAGCAATCTGTGGTAGATGAAATCAGGGCGAAGGGCTGGGATCCGGCGGAACAAGACAAGGTGGATCAGGTGCCAAAGATCGAGTGAAGTGAGGCTGGTGTTGCGTGATACACGATTAGGAGCGACCGGTTTGAAGTAGATGGTTGAAATTTATATCTTCCTCCCTTAGACGAGGCTCAATTGTGGGGAAACAGACAGCGAAAATGAATTTAAATCAACAATATTACACGATAACAAGATAGACCTAGTACAGATGGAGGAAAATCGACGATTAAGATGGTATAATGGTACAATGCGCAGGCGCACGATAGGCGAGAAGAGCGACCGAAATATGAGGCTCATGTAGCATTGAACAGCGTCTGGAAGAGTTCTTCTTTCTTGAGAAAACCCCTGATATTCCACTCTGACTGAGGCTTCCAGAGGTCTCGCGTGCGAAGTCGAGTACGCTCGTACTTGCCATCACCCAAAAACAGGTATGATGTGCCGACATGGGAAAAGAGCGTGAACGCGGTGCTTCTGGGGTTGAGACGAGCGTCTTCCGTTGGAGGGCTCGAGACCCTAACGGCCTTCACGATGGCAGGATCCCTCTCAGTGACGTCCTGACGGATCCCCCGGCCGAACAGGTCATAGAGAACATCGAGAGTGCTGTCAATGTTCTAAACGACGTAACGTCAGCGTGTGGTGGAGCTGCAGTAGAGTATACTCCTTACCAGAGATCCAGCTCGATGTTTGCGGCATTGGAAAGCAAACTTGCGCCCACGAATCGCTGTGGCGCAATTGAGGAGGAAGCAGTTATCCAGTTGCGGCCCTCGTTGAAACATGAGCGAGAGCCACTCGATATGTTCAGGCCCTGTAAAACCCTCGATCAGAAACTTCAAGGCGCCTTCAAATTGGGCAACGTCCACGAGATCGTGCGCGGCCAGGTCGGCGAACAAAGCGCACAAAGCCTTCGGGTCTAGCTGACGCAGGGAGTCAGCCCCCCCACTAAGCTTGCTCGTTATGAAGTCGTAGCGCTTTACGGTCGTTTAGTTCTGGTTAAGGTGGAGGAGGTGGCACTACTCACGTTAAAGAACTCGTAGAAGAGCCTATCGATAACAACTGCGACCTCGCATTCCCAGAGCGGCCCAAATTCATCCTCCATCGTCCCCAAGATATCCCTCATATCCTGGATAATGAAGGAAAATATTGGGACGTCTCCCACCCTTTGCATCCCCAACCCGAGGAGCAACGGCGCGATTTGGGAGAAGGCAATGTTCTCCTGCATACAGTTGAATATGAGGAAGGAGGCAGCGTCGCGTAGCTGAATAGCGTGGATCATGATGGGGTATGCGAATGGTTGAGCGTTAGCTTGAGGATTGAGCTTGAGCGACCGCCTGTGGCATTTGCCCACGCACTGGTGTTGTTCTTTGTTTACGCCCTTTTGACGCGTTGTCACGTTTGTGCCACTCATGCCTTTAAAGGAAATAAATCCGTGGGAAAAGACAAACAATCACCACCACGAGCCGCGCCTTCGTGAATGCCACAGGGCTTATCTCGTCAGCACAACCATGGTGAGTATACTTGATGTCAAGGTCAAAGACGTCCCGCACTTTCTGGCCTACAATGTGGTCAAGGAGCGCGTGTCTGTTCTCCATGTTGTTTCTCTTCTCCTACAAAGCGCGCTCGAGAGCTTGAAAGGGGCAGCCTTTTACGTTTTCCTCTTGTGGAAGACATACGAAGTAATCGAATATGTGGACACGCAGAGGGCTCTGGAATTTAGGAACGAAATTCACACATCAGTCATGCTGGCATGGATGAAATACATTCCCGTAAGCCCCTTTTGTCTTTTTCATTTCCCTGAGTGTTTATCCACTCTGGCAGCGATACAATTTCAAAACTTGCAAGCTCCATACAAAGGATCTCAAATTCGATGAACGAAAAATAGTGGCACGCATTGACCCGCCTGCGCTGTGCGCCGTCCTTGCCGACTTCGCTGCGATGGGTTTCATCCCAGTTGAAGAGTTCGAAGCTTGCGGGATCTATATAGCGCAACAACACTCAAATACCGATCACCTTGGGTGGTTAAAGATAATGGCCGAGCGTGGGCCCTGTATCGACACGGGTTTCCCACTTCTCTGTGTTTCGGTTCTCCGGTGTAGGCGGCATGAGCTTGGTTACACAAAAAATGCTCTGGTGAGCGTCGGATGGTTAGCTTTACCTTGCTATTTCAGATCATTCAATTTTATTCAGAAAGAGGAATCCCTCATTGAATTTTTCTTCGGACTTATGAAGACGGCTCTCACTCTTACACCCGAAACGACAATTGACCCTCTCATAGGAAAGGTCATAATTTATCGGGCGGGGCTGTGGAACTCAGATAGTTACGACCTCGAAGAACGTGCAATGACGCTGCTTACTGCTGGTGGTATGCGATACTTGAGGATTCGGGATCGGCCGTATGAGCCGACGAGCCTCCTCGAACCTTCAAGGGATGCTCTGTCCAAGCAGAGGTCGGCGATAGTTGGGATAGAGCAATAGATTGTAGGAGTACTGTAGAAAATGTTCTTCAGATGTGAAACTAATTTGCATGTGAAACTTAAACTTAAAGAACTAACACGGTGGGCCGGACCGACTAGGTAACGACGAAACTTTTTCTACTGACGTCCACAGCGTTAAACATGTCTGAAAAAATTCTGACTATTCAGGCTACAACTATGATGCTATCTCAGCCTCAAGCGTCACATCCTCGAGTCAATCAGAAGTTCCTGTGTCTACACCCCGAGGACGCTGGGCAAGTGTCGGCTTGTGCCGAGCTCCAGACTCCTGAGTTTCTGGATCGGAGTCTGGTCCGTTCATCCCGACTGTCGAAAGCAGCTTCTCACGTCTTCAAGAACTCAACAACGGGCGCCAGTCAATCGCATCGTTCACAAGGGAAGAAAAACAAATCTCAGCGTCTCCCCACAGCCAAGGCTGGGTCTTCTCAAATGCTATATCTTCGAGTCAATCGGAAGTTCCTGTGTCTACTCTCTGCCCCAACGGCTGATCAGCCCGGCCCTCAGCCAATGCCCCCTCCAGGGACAACTGGGAACCTGAACGTTATCATCGCTAATCTCCCCGACCTAATTCCATTCGCTGGCGACACTGTGGATTGGCTCATCCACATAGCAAGGCTTATTTTCGAGCCACTCGGCACGAGCTCCCTCTACACCTTCACTACCGAATCACTCGAATGGTGGTTGGACAGGGAGATGGAACCGTCACAATGGAGGAAAGTGGCGCATGGAGAGCCGCTGAGGGCCACCATATACGAGTATCGCTCTGACAATGACACTCCAATAACGCTCACGAGGATGAGCCTTCGTCCTACGAGGTCGGTGACAATTGAGACATCAGAACCTCCAGCAACGACGTTCCGGGGCGCACTACTCCGACGCGACCGGGCTTGCATTGTCTCACAACTTGAATTGGAGAGCATACTATATGCGTCTCACTTAATCCCGAGGCGTCTAGGTGATTTTGGTGTCCAATCTGTTACGGAATGCTTTCTCGGTTCGTCCACCATAGTGGACAGATTCGATCCTATCGTGGGGGTGCTTCTTCTCCCAACGCTAGATGCATTAGCAAGTCATTACAAGTTGGGGTTCTGGAACACCGGGCCTGTGCGTCTCTTTATCTTTTGTGGTGTTTTGCGTTAATATTTTGCATCCCAGGACCAATATGTTGTCCACCTTTTTTTCGACATGCCTCTGAATTATTCTGGTGGACCGCCAACCCCTGGTGTACCAGAGCTACATGGTCACCAGATTTCCCTCAACACGCACGACCCCTCATTGCCCCTCCCACCGGTTGGTGTGTTTAACTGGCACTACATGCAGTGTGTCCTCAAAAAATTCTCCTCCCCTGCCTATCGAGCCATCGGCAACGTTTACCATCACTCCTTGCCATCCTGTAGAGAATACGGTGCCTATTCCAGCGACGACGACGAGAGTGTCGTCGACTTTGACAATGAAAGAAACATCACGGATCCGCCTTATCCTTCTTACCTTTGGGAGCTTTCTGAGTTGAGGGAGCGTCAGCGAGTGGAGGGACTAGAGCGCGATCGCGACATTGCAACATGGAGCTCTGCTGTCTCTGGCAGTTGAAGTCTGCGAATTGCTTGGACGTCGTTCCCTTGTACTTTTAACTTTACATGGATGATATAACAACATGTGACCCCCAAGTTGTAGAGTTTCTACGAAGCCTATCACATAAATCGCTCTAATTGTACCACATGCTATTAGTATTCGCGGTCCAGCAGAATGTCATGGATATCTATCAGTGACAAACATGATCTTATTGGGAGCTTCGTCCGTTTCTAGCCGATCCTTCGAGGCACTTGGAGTTGGGGTCGAAGGGGGTGGCGCTGACATGACAGTTAATTTTGAGGTGTCTAGTGCACCAGTTTTCATATTTCGAAGTACATCACGAAGTTGCTTGAATTGTTCAATCTTGTCAGCTTTCTAATCGAAAAATTAGAGAAACCTTTGAGAGGAGGAGAAAGAATGCCTGCTTGATACCGAACAACCCTACCAGAGGTACTTGAGACAGCGAAGAACAGGGTCTCCGAGGCATCCCTAGCGTCAGGGGGACCTGAACGATCGCGGAGCTGTTGGTGAGGGTCGGCTTCATCGTAGGAATGAACCATCTTGTACGGCTGAAGACCGAATGCTGCTTTCCCTTTCAAGTCGTTCTAAGGTTCATGTTGAACATGAGTTGTTAAAAGGGCAAGGGAGTCAAATTGCCAACCTTGGACGCAGAGCCAATTCCTGATCTGACTATATCTGCAATTCCGAGCCCAACGAAGCACAGGATGAGAGGCTGATAGCGAGCGACTTTCTCGAGGAGCATTGGGACTCCCGACGTTTGTTCGGCTTTTGACAACTCGCTTTGCTAGTCACGGAAAGGTGAATCATGACATGCCATCACCATCACCGCGGATTATTTCTTACTTCAACGGTAGGTCGGCTGGTCAGGTTTGTCTAGGGGATGAATTAGAGCGTTGTGTTGATGTGATCTCTGATCTGAAGGAAGTAGCTCACTAGACCCATAGAGAACTCTTTCGGGAGAAGATGGTCCTCTCTCGGGTCCAGACGACGAGAAGTAAGCCCTATCAAGTATATCAGAAGTCATTCGGCGAGGTTCAGGCAAGGAGTGAGTGTGAAAGACGAACCGGATTCGTGTAGACAGCTCCAGAAGTGGTTCGTCGGGTTGCCGTAGTGGTGTCCAATTTGTGCCGATTGCTCGCCTGGACTAGCGAAATAGGTGCCCATAAGCGGTGTATGGCGTGTGTTGGCTTATGGATCATGCTTAATACCGCAGAAGATAACTGTAATGGGTCATCACTACGAACAAAAGATGGTATTGGAACTCATTGTCCAGCCCCGTGTCCAGATGATCGTCTATTTCCTTCAGGTGGTCGTAAATCTTCACTCGTTTCGAACCTGAAACAAAATTTGAGTGCCCGAGAGAAAGCTCGAGAATGTTGACTACCTGGAGACGGTGAGGTTTCGAGCGTTCGTCGCCGGCGCTTCGGAGAAGTTGTGGAGGTCGGGTTCAAACTGGAACGGGCTGAAGATGGCGCAGGCCTCTCTCTAGGGGATCTGGAAGCCTTTATGGATACTGGTTTAGAATAAATGCAGGCAAAATGGGCAGGAAAACACCCACTGGTTTCAATTCCTTCTCCCTGGACGGTTGAGTTGAATGAAATGCGAATTGTGAAAAACGATTGACTCCGACTGGGCTGGTTGGTTGAGATTCTTGGTCTGGAATCGATACGAAAATTTTATCATTATTCGACTCCATTTTTTCAGAGGGATATGCCAGGCTGACGAGGCGCTCAAGCTCAAGCTCAAGTTGCAAGCTGGATGACTGGATGATGACCGTGACAGCGAAAGGTGGGATCACCGGGCCGGCGAGGCAGGTGCGACAATTGAAAACTTGAAGATTGACAAAAAATGACACGCGCTAGACTGAGAACCATAGACAATCGATAAAGCAGCACATTTGCACACCTCGTTCTGATTTATTTCTTCTAGAATGTGAAGAGCAGAGAAAAATTGTTACTACAAGTAAAATATGTGTACAAGAAAGCAGTGCAGAGAAAACATCGCATTCAACACTCTAGTCTTCATCGCTGTCCATATCTTCATCACTATCACTGTCTTCGCCTTCCGCAACCTCAATCGGGTCGAGTGCGATGTCATGATCGGCGCCGACGTAGGAGTCGCAGATGACATATAGCTTGAGTTTGTGTTTGCCTTGTGGAAGCGAGAACTCGAGCTTGACGGCAAGGCTTTTAGTAACCGTCACGCGCTTGATGACGAGGAGCTGACGGCTGGTGGGATCGCCGACGACAAGCCACCAGTTGGCGAGCTTTTTGAGGGGATAGAGAGGAGCGACGACGTTCTGGTCGCTGTCATCTTCGTCCTCATCAGCGTCACGTGCCAGAGAGACCTTGAGGGTAATTGGTGCTCCAGCGGTGTATTCTCCTTTGACGAGTTCGTGATTGACGTCTAGGGTGGGGTACGAATTAACAAAGGTAGCGACGTCTCGCCTAAAAAGGAGGTTAGAGGAGATAGAAACACGGGAAGCACAGGGCATACATTTGCGCGGGTGTCATTTGGAGCAGCTGGTTACGGTCACCGTCCTCCATCTCCATGATATCATACACAGACTTTATGCCTGCAGCATCGCATCTCTTAATGACCTACGAAGAAACACTGAGCAAGATTCACACTGAATTGATAACAGCAAACTTACATCGGTCTCAAAGTGAGGGATCTGCTTGAGCGGCGATTCGTTCTCCCACATCGCCTGGACGCACATTTGTGATAGATCCATCGCGCCAAGAGCATTCAACCAGGCATTCGATGACATGACGTCGACACAGGCGGAAAGAAGATTTAGAACCTTCTCCAAGACAAGCACCTGGTCGGCAGCGAGGTCGGGCGGTAGTTGAATGCGAGAGAAGTGAGCCTGAAGCAGGAGGAAGGTCTTGAAGTACGGGGCCTCGAAGTCCACACGATCGACCTTGACAGGAACACGGTCGTATATGCGGCGAAGTAATGTGTCTTCATGCCGACGGATAGGGATTGTCTCGAACTCGGCTGACGAAGAGACAACTTCGAGAAGACCCTTGAGCTTGGTCTTCTCCTTGAGTGACAGGGTGTACACCTCGACGGTAACGTCTAGGTGTATCATGAGACATAGTCCAGAATGAAAGAAGAGAAAAAACCCACATTGGATGTTGTAATAGGCGGCGATCATACCCAGGTTAAGCGCAGAAACATCCATCTCGTCCTCTAATGCAGCGATTCAGAGACAAACGAACCAAGAAAACACTGATGACGTACCGATGGAAATGCACTTCGAGTTGACAAGATCGTTGAGGGTCGTCTCGACGAGCTCCGACAAGTGATCGGAGACGTGCTGATGGCTCGTGTTGTGGAGGTTGTAATAGTTCGGGTTCTCGAGCATTCGCTTATAGAAGAACGTCCACGTCAGAACATCCTGAACAAAATGATACCGTTAGCAAGAGAACCGTTCAGAAACCGTAGACGACGAACCATCGCATCTTGCTTATTTTCGATCGTCTTCACCGCGATTTCCGCCAGGAAGTAGTCATGGAGCATGTGAGTTGCCAGATGCGACTCGATAGGCAGACCTTCAGCCAGGAACTTCTTGTAGAAGTCCTTTCTTGTCTGCTGGCACATGAGGACACATCGGCTATTCTCGTCCTCGAGTGGTCGACACGCCTTGCCCATCATTTGAAGAACATCCATGACAGGATAGTCGATGTAGCGATGCTCTTTGCCTTCGTAAAACTGGACGCCCATAATAATAACCATGTAGCTAGCAACAGGCAGACTCCAAGCGGTGTCCTGAGAATGAATTTAGATAAGCAAATTTGATTCAAACAAAAATTCGGGGATCGACTCACCTTAGACGCTACCAGCACTTGGATGGCTCCGGATTCGAAAAGCCGTTGAACGATTCGCTTGTCCTGCTTATCAAGAGCTTCATGGAAGTATCCAACACCGTGCTTCAACGTCTCCGCCAGTCCTTTGTCGCTGATATGGTCTAGATGGGGCTGAAGGTCCTCCAGCTCGATGTTGAGGAAGAGATCGGGCTTGTCATCCGCAGAACAGTGAGTCAAGAGATCATCAACTGTCAGACGACATTGTCGTCGCGATGGCACAAAAATGATGACGGGCTTTGTAGGGGAATGTTCGCGGATGGCTAGGTATGCCGGTTTTGACATGGCGATCATTAGCGAGGGGAAATGAGGAATAGCGAAGGACTGGATGTGAATTGCCATGTCGAGAGGGCGGGCACTGTAACACAAAATGAATGACGCAACACGAAGGGATGAGAAGAGAAACAAGTACCTAGGCGAGAAGTTGAATATTGTGTGCTCAGACGCGCCCATCCACTTCCCAAGATCCTCAGCGTTAGCGAGAGAGACCCCACAGGCGACAATCCGGGTCCTGTTTCCTGTCTGACGCTCGACATATCGCGTCCGCGAGATGACAACCTCATACGTGGGTCCTACTTCGCCGCCTACGGTCTGTACCTCATCGGCAATCAGTAAGCCGAGGTTCTGCACGTTTTTCCGTTGTCTCCATCGTCGAGAAATGACGTCCCACTAGGAGGAGATGTTAGATACCGGATGACTAGCAGACGGAAACAGCATACCTGACTCGGCGTGCAAACAATGACATCGCCCTTCTCCAATAACCGCAAGTCCGCGCTCGTTTCTCCGGTCAAACCGACGATCTCCTTTGCACCCTGGAGGTTCGAGAATTTTGACTTCCATTCCTTAACCCGCAGATCTACCATGTCTTGATAAGGCTCGATGCAAACTGCTCGGGGTGGTTCTCGTTTACTCCATAGCCTCAGCAAGGCGAATTCGGCACAGATCGTCTTGCCACTGCCGGTGGGAGCGCCGATGAAAACGTTCTCGTCTGACGTGTAAAGAGCTTGGAAGACTTGCGTTTGGATCTTGTTGAAGGTTTGGATCGAGTTCGCGTAGATAGCTTCGAATTCCTTGTTATGTAGGGCAGAGAGAGGAAGGGCTTGGAGGTCGAGGAGGGGTGTGGGCTTAGGGAACTTCTTCGGCAGGATTAGGTGCTTGAAGGAAATAGGAAGACGTGTTTCCGAATGCAACCACCTGTCGGAGATGACAGAGATGTAGTAGTTCGGTGGTACTGGCTCAAACATAGGGACGTTGAGCGTCACAGTGTGGGTGTGCTCGGCCTCGGCGTAACGTTGATAAAGCACAAAGGTTTCGTGGAGAAGTATAATCTCTCCGTCGACATCTTCCACTAGGATCCAGAATGTTTCAGCCCCGCCATGGATCTTTTCATCCCAGCGGAAATCCGGAGTGATGAGGAGTTCGATTCGAATGAGTGATCGTGTAATAGGTTGGACGGTAGCTTCCAGACTAAGTAATAGGTAAATGTTAGATACGACGGCGAAAGTCCAAAATGATAAGGTACTGACGCGAGTTTCGGAAAGCTATGTACAAGTTTGTGTACAAGACGACCGGCGTTGGGGATACCGATAAGCTCGCCGATTTCTGGAGGTGTGAGGTCGAAGTAGCGGTACCACGGCTGTCAATGAACATTTAGGATGACGTAATCCGGGGAGAAGGAAAATGCCTACGAATTGTTTTCCTTCTGCCTTTCGAATAACTTCGCTTGGAACACCTTTGAACTGACGCAGAGGTGTCATGGAGCCCCACCTATTTGAATGATTAGAATCACTACATATTATTCGTGAGGTCGGGACAAACATTCTCTTCTCGACCATCTTGCACATGTCCAATGCAGCCTTCGCAGGAACGGCCCATCCGCGCTTCAAGCAGATCTCGAACATGGCACGCAAAATTCTGGACACGGATTCCATGAAAAACTTTTCCGCGTCAAAACGAGTTATCAAGCTTACCGGCCAGCAGACTGTTGCACGAATACCATGTCCGCGACGAGAACAAATCCTACACAACGCATGATGAGAAAATATTACTAGCAGCATATAACAAAAGGGCATACCATCTAGCTTCAACTGTGAGATGTATGCCTGCAAGAGGACGTTGATCTTGGCAGCCGGCTCCTCAACGCTTTCCTTGACAGGAATGGGTACCCGCTCCAGCAATTTTGCCAGCTCGAGCTTCTCTTCTTGACGAACCTAGTCCCAACAATGAGTCAGAAAACGGCCATTAAAAAGCAAATCCCAGAACGTACGGGAAGCAATTTAAACTCATTCGAAAGAGCGAAGACTCTGAAGAGTTCAAGTGAAGACATCGTCGGACGGAGGTGCTGATTGTACACCATCATGGAGTTGTAGGTGACGTAGTAATGTGAGGCGATCCTGCCCAGCTCCGTGCTAGTGAATCTTCCGGTCGACCTCTCGTATTTGATGAGCTGGCACTTCTCCAGCAGAACGGCCGCCGAATGGGCAATGTCAGCTCGTTTTTGGATAAGGCCTTCGTCGTCTTCTTGATAGTCGGCTCCGACACCGTAGAGTGCTGGAGACTTGAGCATCCGGACGTATCTTTTAAGCAGAGTTAAGCTAAAGCAGAGATATCAGGCAAGGAAAAACGTACAGGTATGTATACCCAAGCCATTGGACAGCCTCATCTCGATTCCTAACCGTACCGAGAACGATCTCTGCATTGAGGTTATCCGCGAGCTTGCTGACAAACTGCGACTCGATGGGCAGTTGTTGGTTCAGCAGGCTGAGGTAGTACTGCAGCTCCGAGTGGTTCGTGATGATGAGACCCTCGCCATAGGTGTCGTATTGGGGACGACCCGCACGACCGAGCATCTGCAGAACGTCCTGCGACGACAGCTCGACCCAGCGACCTTTCTCCGGGTTGTAGATCTGTGTTCCTTTGATGATGACGGTATGAGCGGGAAGATTGACACCCCACGCCAGCGTCGCAGTGCAGACCAGGACTTGGATACTTCCTTCCGCAAAGAGGTCCTCGACGAGCCCGCGGTCCTCTCTCGACATGCCAGCGTGATGAATGCCGAACCCGAAAGGGAGGAGGTCCTTGAGGTTGTTGTCCTTCGCATCCTTCGCGGCGTCCAGGAGGATTTCGCGAACAGCGCCTTCAGGCTTGACGAACTGGGTAATCGTCTCCTTCTCGATGGCCGTATCGCGCAAGAACTTCGCCGTTTTCGCCGTTTCCTTCCGCGAGTGCACGAAAACAAGAGTTTGGTTCTTGCCCGACACCTGGTCAAGGACCTTCTCGTAGCACACCTCGTTCATGATCTGGTACCGCTTGATGGCCTTCTTCTCCGTAATTCCGATGAACTGTTGTTGCAGGCCACAAGGCCGATAGGAAGCATCGAAGTAGAAGAGGCCCTTCTTCTCGTCAACGCGCAAGAAAGTCGCGACATCTTGATAGTTGGGCAGGGTGGCGGACAGACCAACCAGGCGAACGTACTCCGACGTCTGCTCCATCCTCCGAATCGTCCGAGCCACAATACTCTCCAAAACCGGTCCGCGGTCGTCATGAAGCAAATGAATCTCATCGATGATGATAAGACGGACAAAGTTCGTGTAGCTCGTGTCGGTTTGCTTGCGAGTAATAACGTCCCATTTCTCCGGCGTCGTAACGATGATTTGGGTTTCGGCGATTTGCTGCTTCGTCATTTGGGAATCGCCTGTGAGTTCGCCAACCTTGATGTTGAAGACACCGAGCCGTGAGGAGAAGTTGCCAACCATCTCCTGAACGAGAGCTTTCATGGGTGCGATGTAGACGATCTTGAATGCGTTCAGGTCGAATTCGCTGGTTTCTTCATTACGATGCTTGGACATTTCGTTGAGGATGGTAAGCATGGCGACATTGGTCTGCAAAATCAACGTTAGAAAGCAATTCACCCAGAAACAGTGCATGGACTCGCCTTTCCTGCACCAGTAGGGGCACAAAGCAGAATCGGCTCGTCCGTACCGAAGGCGACAGGGAAAAGCTTGCTTTGAACACGATTCAGCTTCGGCACCGTGAAGGCATCGCGCGCCCAAGCGGGCAAAGCAGTTACTGGTACGAATTCGCCCTCTGTGACGGGCTTCTGCTTCGGAGCTGGAACATGAATTTCTTCGTACCCTTTCTTCGCGCGCTTGAACGAGCCATCCGGAAGCTTGCACTTCTTGTTGGACATGAGATGCCCACCCTGCGAGAACGCCATGCTTTCCAGATCGACAGTGCGCTTCGGCTGCACCGTCGACCCCGGTGCCAGAGTGGCGGTCTTGGGCACAGCGGCAGGCTTGGCTTCGTCAACGTCCATGGCGTCGGACGCTGCGGCTTTTGCTTGACGGTCGCCCGCCAGCTCGCGCAGAATCCACCCTAGACCCTTCTCCCGCATCGCGACCTCGACGTTGACCCTCTCGTCCGCGTCGCTGCGCATGAGTTTCGTGCACCAGACGACGACTTCGCGGTTCTTGAGGAACTTGGCGGTGATGTGGAAACTTTGGTAGTCGAACAGTTCCATGAGTTGATTTTCGCAGTCGCGGGCGCTGGATTCCGAGCCGAGGATGGAGAGAACAGAGGCGGCTTTGTCGGCGGCCGTCAGCGGGTCTGGATAGATCTCTGAAATTTGCCGCTGCACCCAGAAACCGTCGATGGAGTGAGGGGAGACAACGTCCTTATCGACTTTGGACTTGCCCTGCCGTGATGACTCGCCTCCAATGATGAGGTCTTCGCCCTCCCCTTCGACCACGGCACCCTCTGCTTCCTCCCTCTCTTCCTCCTCCTCCTCGTCAGACTCGTCTCGAATCTCGAAGCCCTCATCGTCATCTTCCTCCTGCTCCTCCTCGTCGAACACGACCGCAACCCCACCCTCCTCGTCAATCTCGGCCTCCTTCCGCTCCTGGTCAGGGTCCGCCATGGCCTCATCATCAGCATTGTAGTCGGTGATCTTCTTCGACAGGCTGACGAGCTGCGAAAACTGCTCGCCCGTGATGGGGCCCGTGACCTCCTCAACCTCCTTCTTCTTGTCAAAGTCCTTCATGCCCTCCGTCTTCAGCGTCTCCAAAACAGTATCGGCCGCACTCCGCACGATGTCCTGCGCCTGGTCCCCGAGGGCGGCATGTACAGCAGACAGGATGAGCTCGTAGACTTCACGCGTTTCCGCCGTTCGAGGGCGGTACGTCAGTCCCTCCACGTCCTGCGTCGCCTCGATGATGTCCGCGTACCCAAACCCCGCAAAGTCGGCCTTGCGCTTCGCAGCGGGTTTTTCTGACGGGTCGGCCTTCTCCGCGGCCTTTTTCTTCTTCTTGTCGACGTCCTTGGGTGCCTGCCGCAGCACCCGCGAGCCCATGTCCTTGGGGTCAATGCGGCCTGCAAGAGAAACAGGCGCGCCATCTGGCTCCTTGTCGCGTCGTGGCAGAGCAGACCGGTCTGTCGTCAGGACGAGCGACGAGATGGCGCCATAGTTGTAGCCGGAGTAGTCGGGCTTTTTGCCAGACATACTGGATGTCGTGGAGGTGGATGAAAAGAGGGCTCGTCGTTGCAACTGACGGTGTTCAAAATAAAATTACGTAATATACGATGACTAAGATCGGTCCCACGCTCCACTCTCAGTTGGAGTTCAAGCCAAGCTTGAGCGCTTAATTTTCGAGGTCCACACAAGTTCTCCTTCCTTTCGATTTCTATACCAAGGACATTCATTAAAGAACATACATCCGAGTCAATTTCATAAAGATTTGGGACTGAAAAAGAATACACCATGTAATACAATTTGGAGTCGTCGTGGACATGATAAATCTGGTAGAAATCCTACAACGCAGGAAACGTAGAATTACGCTCCAACTTCAATTGGAACAAGTCGCAGACTTCAGCTAGGAGACACCGGAGGTCCATTTCGCAACAGCGCGATCGAGCGCCTCCAAGTGCTGACGTGCCCTCAACACAGCAATATCCAGAAAGTAAGAAGGATAAGGCGGATCTGCGGTGTCACTCTCGTCATTGCCGCTCTAACCGCCGTCTCTGGCACGGAACGGCAAGAGAAATGGGAGATGTTATGCATGTCCCGATAGGTGGGTATGGAGAACTTCTTGAGGACGCATTGGAGGTAGTGCCAGGCAAACACACCAGCTGCGGGGAGGGCGAGGGACGGCGAGGGGTCGTGAGGGCTGAGGGCAATCTAGCGACCATGTAACACTGGTAGGCCAGAGGTTAGCGACCCACCATAAAGATGCCGGGGCACATCTACAAAGCTATGGACGGTATATTGGTCCTGGGATGCAAATATGGAGGTGATCCAGTATGAAAGATGAGGAGACTTACAGGTCCGTTGTTCCAAATCCTAGCTTGAAAATATTTGCGTATACGGCTAGACTCATGAATCGTGTCTGTCCACTACAGCAAAGGAACCAACGAGCCGTTCTATGACAGATTAGACACCAAGGACACCAAGATGCCTGGGGAATAAGTGAGACGCAACCACTGAGATCTCCGACGTATCTCGCAGACAACACATGCCCAGTCGCGTTGAAATAGCGCGTCGCGGAACATAGTAGCTCAAGGTGCAGATATCCACGTTCTCACAGACATCGTAGGACGAAGGCTCATCCTGGTGAGCGCGATTGGAGTGACATTGTCTGGGCGAAATTCGTATATGGTGGCCCTCAACGGCTCTCCATGTACCATTTTCCTTCACTGCGACGGTTCCATCTCCCTGTCCAACCACCATTCGAGCGATTCGGTGGTGAAGGTGTAAAGCCTCGCTATGTGGATGAGCCAGTCGACAATATCGCCAGCGAACGGACGTAGGTCGGGGAGACTGGCGACGATGACGTCCAGGTGTCCGCTTGCTCCTGGTGGAAGCAATGACTGGGTTCGCGCTGATCAGCCGTTGGGGTAGAGAGTAGACGCAGGAACTTCTGATTAACCCGAAGATATAACATTTGAGGAGACTCTGGGAGGACATTTAGCTATGTTTTTCCGGATTTTTGACCGATGTGGTTGACTAGGGCTTGTACTTAGTTGGGTTCTTGGAGACCTGAGAGGTCCCCTCCGAAAGGCGGGATGAACGGCGTGGCGCAGAGGTGGACATGTTATCGAGATTCGAGATTAGGTGAAGGATGTCGATGAAATGTTGAACGGGTGAGGTCATGACTACGTTTCGGCAAAAGCCGAGAACTGGTCATATATAGAAGCGAGTACTTGCAGAGGCCCCCGAACTTGCTCCTTGCTCTAGCTCTGAACCCGCGATTACGCCGACCTCTCATCATGACCAGGAATCAGCAGGCCTGTTCGACAGCATGTGGATCTATTGAAGAATACGATTCACGAGCGCACTAGCTGGCTTCTCATTCGAAACCTCTAGGTATATAAATCGGCGTCGCAGTCCCGCTTGCTTGAAGAATACGAAGCTGCCCCTAGCTAGCGCGCGCGATGTGGAACGTATCCCTCCTCGCTCATACCCTCTTATTCGCCCTCGTCTCTCCCGTCTTCTCTAGCGGCCCGCTACACACCTCCGGCCGATGGATCCTAGACCCGAACCAACAACGCGTCAAGCTCCGCTGCGTGAACTGGGCCGGGCACATGGAGGTGAACATCCCCGAAGGCCTGCACCGCCAACCCATCGACACCATCGCCGCCTGGATCGCCTCCAACAACTTCAACTGCGTCCGGCTCACCTACTCCATCGACATGGCCCTCAACCCCACCCAGAGCGTCCGGGACGCGTTCACCGCCGCCGCTTCTCCCGCCGGGGTCAGGCAGGCCGCGATGCAGGCGCTGTACACCCAGGCGGTGGGGAGGAACCCGTTCTTGGCGAGCGCGACCACGAGAGAGGTGTTCGGGAGGGTCATCGATGCGCTAGGAAGCAGGGGCGTACATGTGGTACTCGACAATCACGTATCGAGGGCGAGCTGGTGCTGCGGCCTCACGGACGGGAATGGGTGGTGGGACCAGGCGTCGGGGTACAACGCGGAGAACTCGCGGTATTTCGACACTAACAAGTGGCTTGCGGGGCTCTCCGCCATGGCGAGCTTCGCGAGATCGCATCCGGCGGTGGTGGGCATGGCCCTGCGCAACGAGCTGCGCACCTCCCAGCAGCAGGTGCCGGGCGAAGATAGCGCGTGGCGCCGGTTCGTCACGCAGGGCGCGAGCGCCGTGCACGCTGCGAACAATGATCTGCTGATCGTCATCGGCGGGGTGGGCTACGCCACGGACCTGCGCACGCTGTACTCGAACCCCCTCGACACCTCCCCCTGGGACGGGGCGAACCGCACTGTCTGGGAGTTCCACGCCTACTCGTGGTCCTTCTCCAATTCGGGCTCATGCAGCGTCGCCTCCACCCGCTACGGCGACTACGCTGGGTTCCTCCTCGCTCAGAATCGGCCCTACACGGGGCCGTTATGGCTCAGTGAGTTCGGCGTGGGCATGACCGGCGGTCCGTCGGCGAACCAGGGGCTAAGCAACGCAGATTACAATTACTTGAGGTGCCTGGTGCAGTATCTAGAAGGGAACGATGCGGAATGGGCGGTGTGGGCGCTGCAGGGGAGCTATTATGTGAGGAATCAGGTGGTGGATTATGATGAGAGCTTTGGGTTGTTGACGAGGGATTGGAGCGCGTGGCGGAATCCGGCATTTCCTGGGATGTTGGGCGGGATGTGGAGAGTGACGCAGGGGCCGTGAGGGAAGAGGGATTGGTATTCTCAGCACCTCTGCATCGGAAGCCTCGCATGTCATTAATATAGGCCAGAGTCGTACTGTGGATGTCAGTGAATTCAATGGCTAGCAACAACAGCGGTGATTGAAGCTTTGCCTTCTGGGCCTTGTCAGTTAGCTTTCAAAGTGAGAACGCCATTGATTCAACGCAGAACAGTACAGATTTTATTTATAAACCATTCAGAAAACGTCGCACGGCCACCTTCCGCTCCGGCAGACCATCCCCAGCAGCAATCCCTAGGTTCTCGTTGTAATAGAATATGATCTTGAGAATCGTCTGATGAGTCAAAGTGTCAATGTTGCCAGCAACACCAGGTGGGCGCGAGCCAATCGGTCCTACTGGGTGGTTGTTGAAATACTGGAGGAGCTGCCCTTGGGCGGCAGGGTCAATTACATTCCATACAGCCTGTACAAGGTCCAAGCCAGGTCCTGGAACCTAATGAAATACAAATTAGTCGCAGGACTTGGACTACAATGTATGAGACAGGCTCACCGATTTCTGAACCATATCAAGGACATCCGGGGCAACCAGGCGGTTTCGTGTTCGGATTTGAGCATTGACAGTTTCCGCACGGCCAGCTGCGCAATCGATGGCCAGTGCTGCTAGTTGTTGCTGCATCATTGCGAGCTGCTGCTGAAGATTTGCAGGAGAAAAAACCACAGCCGCAGCTAGAAACTGTTGAGGAAGTCAAACATAATGGATACCACGATGAACATACCTGCGTTCTCGATGGCAGTTGCGCGAAGGTCTGAGGTGTGGACAACATCCTCGGTGATAACCCCAGGTGCGATGTTCAATTCTAGTGGAACAATTCAGCAAACAGATCCAGTTTGAAAATGTGTTCATTTACGAACTTTGGAACCCTCGCAGGGTATCAGCAACAGCCCGTGCTTCATAAAGGTGATTGGCATCGAGAGCATCTCCGGCTTGGATGTGATGCCCAAGGTTGACATTTTGGAAGATGGGAGGTAGATGTGGATGCTTGTCCTGGATCGATTGTATTTCCGAAGGGTAAATCGCTGCCATCGAGATTCGAGTTGGTTGACGTTGGGAGAGGGACACAGGCCACCAGTTGGCCACTTTCCGCCCCATGCACGTGATACACGGATTCGCCCGTGATTATGTACACACCTAATGAGGAACGTTCGGCTGGAGGTTCGGAGTTTTAATAGACTTGTGCCTCTCCGCTAGTATCGAACAACCGACTTGCTTTCGACAACCATGAGCTATCTCCAACGCTCGTTCAGCCCCGTCTATGCCTCGGAGACCCTTCCCTCTGCTGAGATCGGCGAAAACTCAATGCTCATTGGCGGAGCCTCAGTCTACCTCTCCCCGAACGAATCATGGCCCATCTGCGGCACATGTTCGAAACCCCTCGTACCTCTGATCCAGCTGAACGTCTCTTCCCCGTGCACCCCAGAGGAATTCCGGGTTCTCCTGCCCTCGGTGCTACCGCCCGGCCAAGCACTCGCGACCATGCTGCAGCTCTTCGTATGCAGAACGGGCGACGCGGAGTGCTACACCCATTCCTTGCTCTACTCGACGAGCACATGCTCCTGGGTCTTGCGCATAGCCGACGTTATGCGTACGCCCCGCGAGGTACCCCACCAGCACGGAACACCGGGGCCGCTCTTCCTGCCTCCGCGTCTGGTAGAAACGTGGGCGCCAGGGAAGGAAGAGACGCTGCACGAGGAGCTGATGTGGGATCAAGACGACTCTGAAGAGTTCTATGCAGAGCATGAGCCAGCGCCGGGGCTGAAGATGCTCGGTCATTCCGTGCGGGGTGCGCGGAGCCTCGTAAATAGCGGGACATTATTGCTGATCGTTCTGATCCTAGGGAAATTTTATTGTGCGGACGACGGGTGTCCTAGGCCTGGTGCCCATGTCTTTCCGGAGTGGCGCGATCTGTTCCAGATTGGGGGCCGCTTTGATTTCGAGGATAAGGAGGAGGAGGATGAAGACGCTCTTGAAACGGTGAGGCCTTCTCGCTTTGGATGGACTCGACTGACGAGTTATCTGATAGATGGCATCACTGGGGAATACCTTCATTGAGCAATGCGTAGAGCATCCGGATGTTTTGCGGTTGACTATGAGTGGCGACTGGTAACACATAAATAGGGCACGTACACCGAGCGATATCGAACATACATATGTACATATATTGAATAAAAATTCCGGACAAACAACATAAGCCTAGACATCACGACCAAGCGAACGATACGGGCGTCAACTGAGGAGTGTACCCCTGGCTCTGCAGACAGCTATACTTATATCGTCCCGGCACTATTCCCACAAACAATACTATACCCCCCCTGAGGGCTCGGGAACACGTAACACTGCTGCTTCACCGTATTCCAATACGACCCAAACTCCCAGCTCGAGCACCCAACCTGGTAGCTCGGCTGCGCCCCTCCCGCAAACCAAGCATACACCCCAGAGCATAGACACCCCAGGTAGAACCCCCCGTCCGAGGCCAAGTTCACGCCGAAGTACGCTGGGCTTCCAGTTATCGGTGTGCTAATCGCAAAAAAAGAGAGGAAACGAAGGACAGGCGAGGAAATGGGATGAGGAGAGACGGCGGTTGGAAACGGAAACGGAAAAAAGTGCAGAGGAATTATCGTACGTATTTATGTGTGTGTGTGGTGTATATGCGACGAGCCAGGGTTTTGGATGCGAATAAGTGAGGATATGTAATACAGGGATCCCAGAACGAACCACGAACGAACGAACGAACGAAAAAACGAGAACCAGAAAAAAAGGAAAACGCATCTATTCAGGCTTCACCTTCCAAAACACAGCGGCAGCAGCGACACTTGATATCAGCACACCAGCCGCCGCTTGCATGTTGATCGTCGGCCATATTGACGACAACGCCGCCGACGAGGTGGAAGGCCCTCTGCACATCCCCCACCGCAAAAGGAAACATCCACGCAAAGGTCAGCAAAACCTTCATGCCCAGACTCAGTGAATCGAAACTTGCCATATCATCATCCGCACTCGACTGCCTCGTCGAACTCGACGCACCATCCAACGCCGCCCTGGCTCGATGGCTCGATTCGCTGTCCACGGAGCCAACACTCGACGCGGGTGTCGCTAGATGAGCAGCTGCCTTCAAGAGCACCGCGCCGAACCCGCCGCACCACCCGCAGAATCGCCAAAGATCGACCTCGCCTTGGCTTCGAGATCATCCTCGTTCGACGACGCGAGCGTCGCGTCCGTATCCGCATCATCATCATGCTCGCCCCCACTCTCACTCCCCACTCACTCCCCACTCACCGACCTTCCCCTCCCCAACGCACCCTTCGAATTCCTCCGCCTCTGCCTCCTATACCTCCCCGAATCGCTGCTCTGGCTCCTCGGCGAAGGAGGCGCCACCAAGCCGCCATTATGCTTAACAGCATCGCCATTAAGAAAGGACGAATGATGATGTCCCTGATGAAGCGTCGAGACGTTAAAAGCCGTCAACTGCTGCTGTTGGGAGACGAGGGTGGATTGGAGGGAGGCGACCTTTTCGAGGCCAGAGTCGACTTGTCGGATCTTGGTCTCCCACTCCTCGCGCGCTTTGGAGAGACGATCGCGCTCTTGAGACCACTCCTCCTGTACCGAACCCCACTTGCCCTCGACAGACTTCTTCCACTCGGACATCATATCGACAAGGGAGGAATACTGCTTCTCGGGGACCTCTGGCATCCGCGGCTCCGCCGCATTGCGTCTCGTCTCGACAACGTCCTCGGCCTTCGTCGAGTGGGCCTTGGTGAGAGCGTCTTCAGCGGATCGAAGCATCTCTTCCCGAACGCCGACCTTGCCCTCGAGACCCTTCGTCATCTGCATGACCGCCGAAAGCTGCTTCTTCCTTCCGCCTCTCCTCATCCTCAGCCTGCGAAGCCTCCTCGCTCGAGTCAAGTTCCTCCAACGGCCGTACCGACTCCGGTTCGTCCACCTGCCTATTAGTATGCTCCTCCTTGAGCGCGATCGATGCTCCGTCCTCTCCGCACCTCATCCACCTCGAGGCGCATTCTCTCCTCCTCCTGAGCACGCTCGTGTTCCATCTCTCGCCGCCGCTCCTCCATCATCTCCTTCAGTGTTCGCACCTCGCGCTTCATAGCTTCCTGCTCGGCGATGGCGTTCTCGAGAAGACGGAACTTGTCGAGTTGGGAGGCAAGCGATGATTGGGTATCGCGCAGCTCGTTCTGCAACTCCTGGACCGCAGAAGCCGAAATGTTCGAAGCAGCATTCGGGAGAGCCTGCTCAGGCGAACCCGATGACGAAGGCTGCCCCGAGTGACTGGCCGAACCCGACGCCTCCTGCGGTGGTCGGACAGGGGGAAGGTTGTTGGGGAAGGGCGGTAACGATGTCGGCTACAGGACGTAAACTTAGCATATATCCGCGTTTGAACGCATACAAGACGACTTACGAGGTTCCCTCCAAGGGTATCGTGGATGTCGTTCATCGTATTCGTGAGGGTGCTAAGCTCCGCACCCGTCTCTCGGCTCTTCTGCAGCTCACCCTGGAGCCGACCGACGATGACGTCGAAGCTCAAGCCTGTCTTCCCGGGTGTGGTCTCATGCCGCCCATGCCACCCAAACCCTGTTGGGCGAGCTGGGCTCTCCGCTGAGCCGCAAAGGGGAAATTCTGAGGTCCGCTAGCGCCGATGCTGCCATTCAAGGGGGCACCAGCGGGGGCAGTGGGGGCACTGGCGATGGACGCCGAGGCACCAGCCGGGCTTTGTTGCTGTAGGTACTGCTGCTGCTGAAGTTGCTGCTGTTGTTGGTGTTGCTCCGCGCGAGCAGCAACCTGGGCGTCCTGTTCGTTGAAGACACATACGACCCGGGCGGCGACTTTGTGGTGAATGATGGTCTTGTTGTCCTCCCCAACGATGTCGATACCGAATTCCTACGACGAGTAAGATACCAAATTATCGAAGAAAAAAACAAAGAGACATACGATGAAGCGTGAAGCTTCTTACGACGACGTTGGATGGCTCGCGAAGCTTATGTCATCAGCTCCGGCGCACTGTCCTCAGCACGAGAGGATCGTTCCTCGTGCTTCGTCTGGACTTTGGTTCATGTTATTGTTAGTATTAGATTGTTTGGACATACCTACAGTATATAAAGGCTCTCTATGTACTTGGGTAGCTAGTTTTCGCTTTTCCAATCGAGCGTAGGTTGGCTAGTTCACTCTCCCGTCCGACGCTCCCGCGACGACTCCCCGTGTGAAGGACTCCGGTTCCCACATATTTTTGAACTCCTCTACTACTCTCTAACTCGACTTCACCCTCGAACTCGTCGGCGACTCGTCAAGGCTTGATCACCCTTCGACCTTCGCCACTTCGTTCACCCACAACACACTCACCACGACATGTCGACAACCACTGTTCACGGTACCAAGGCCCCGGCTCCCCCTCGACTCGACCTTACGGCGGTAGGAGGAAAAGGTGGATCAAAGAGCGCGAAAGGCTCTACTGGAAATAGGGGCGCTGCTGCGATGCAGGCTCCCGCGTCTCAACCTGGGGTTGAAGAAGCGTCTCGGGTCCCTCAAGTTGGGAGCGCGGCCCGTTCGAGTACCTCCCGCCCGGTGGGCGGTGGAGGGAAAGAGAGCGACGTGAGCTCCTCTCGTCGCAGGAACTCGGTTCCAGATGCTGAGGGCTTCGTTCAGCCCCGGCACACAGCTAAAGCGGCTGACGTGACCACGGTGTCCGTAGACAGCGCATTTGCGGATGATAATAAATTTTCTTGGCTCCGTGACGAGCACGCGGAATTCGAGTATGACTCCCAAAATGAATCAGCCACTGATAAGCAGCAGGGAGATAGCTCTGCACCCGCAGGAGGTGTACGAGATAAGAGTCATAAAACTTCGGCTAGACGGTGGTCTGATTATGATGAGGATGAGGACATTGGTCCAGTGCCTGATTTCGGCACTAATCCCCCCGCGACCACTGCTGCCGGTAACGCTGCGGCTGCTGACGAGGACTTGCGTGATAAGGTCGTCATTCTTGAGGCCGAGAAAGCCTTCTTGATGGGTTCACGCCAAGAGTCCGAAAGGATCAGCCAAGAACTCAAGGCCGAGCTAGATGCCTTGAAGGCCCAGCAACGGTCGAGCTCCCTAGCTCCGAATCCTGGAGTTGGTGCTACCAATCCTTACCGGGCATCTTCTGTACTCCCCGCATCGAGCTCCGTGCAGCGAGCAATCTCTGGGAGTCCAGCCCCGAGAGGAGGGCAGTTCGGCGCTAAAGCCGGCGCTAAACAGAATACCCCAACGCCAGGACCACTAGGTAGTGGCGGCAGCGGAGACAAGGGTACTGGTAATGGACCACCTCATAAACAACCTCCTGGTCTGGGAGGAAACCCGCCTGGTGACGACGATGATCCTTCAGGATCTGACTCCGAGTCGAGCGACATTTTTAACCAAGAACCCGAATCTGATCACAGTAGTGACTCAGATGGGACGAAGCGCATCAAGCGTGCTGCTCGAAGGAAATACAGGGCTAAGATTAACCGTATTAAATACCAGCAGGGGTTCTTGAAAGCTGAACCACCGGCTATGTACAATGGCGAAGTACAAATCACGTCGTTTAATAAATGGTGTCAAGGCCTGCGTGCCTGGATTAGGCGTGGTCGCCTGCGTGAGGCGGAAGGCATTGAGCTTTCTGGCAATTATCTCGGGGGGCGGGCATACCGTTTCTTCGAGCGGGAGATATTGATTATGCAGAAGAAGTATTCTCTTACTGAGTACTTCTCTGAACTTTTCAATCACATCTTCCCAGTGGATTTCTGCATGCAACAACGTGACAAATTTGACACCTGCCAACAAGACCATCGTACAGTGTTGGATTTTCTTCGGAAACTCCAGGAGATCGCTGATACTATTGGTGATATCAATGATCGGGACATTGTCCTGGCCTTCTGGCGTAGATGCAAGCCGTATCTGCGCTCCGAGATGGTCAAGGATGGATTAGACCCAACTATAATGTCGTT